GCCATGTCTCCCCCAGTACGGCGATAATAGCGCAGGCGATCTAACAGTTTCGTTTGCCAGGGACGACGGCGCGTTGTCCAGACACAGAGGGTTGCGTTTTTCCGGACAAGGGAGGGAGGGCGGGAGAAGCCACTCCGTCCTCGCTTGCAGGGGCCCAGGCACAACACGGATGCCTGGCAAGCCCCGTATTTGCCTTTCCTTTGCTGTAGCCCCGTTATGGCCATGCCCGCAGGATAGTGGTATTGCTGGGGTCCCCACTGTTGTAAGGGTTCGGGCGTCATGATGTGGGCATGACAGAGCCAGCGTTTCAAGTCAAGGGGTTCCAGGTTGCGTACCACGCCAATGGAGTGATGACTGTGACCTGAAGAACCCGGCCTGGATGCACCCCCACCCGTTGTCTTGGTTGTGTGAACCTATTTGTGTTGGGGGAGAGGGTGATGGGGGTGTCTCGGGGCCCTTTTTGCTGAAGACGCGTACGAGAGATCACGATTGTTCCCTGCGGAGTGATCCCGGAGGGGGTCTGCTAGGCGGGTGGCAAAAAAAAAACCCTAAAGAAGCTGTCGCCCTGAATCCCACACCTGCACGCTACCAAAACAGCGGCGAAGGACACGACTCACACTCACGCACTCACACGCTCACTCTCTCACCATCTCACTCATATTCACTTTTACACTCTTTGCGAATAGATAACTTTGCATGTGGGGTTATCCGGTCCTTCAATTGCTCTTCTCCACCTTGATACTCTGCCCGGGTCGTATTTTTCCGGTCTTCTGGAGTGCCCACCAGCACAGCTTTCCGCAGAGCATACGGAGTGACTGGAGTGCCCATGCCCACAGATAGAGAATCAATGGACTGTCCACCAAAGAGAATAAGCGAGGGAAGCAGCCAATTTGTTTTCTACGTATATATATCTATATATATATATATATATACACATACTTATTGTTTTAAACCTTTGTTTATTTCAATCTTTTTTTGTTAGTGTGCAGTTTTGTGTTTCGTGGTAGGGGTTAAGGGTTTGGGGTTTAGGTTTGGGGTTTTGGGTTTTTTGCATAGGGTTTTGGTTGGGCTGCGGACGCCTGTTGTGACCGGATGCCAAAAGGGTTTCTCGGATTGGGCGTTGAAAAGGGTTTTGCGTTTGGGTCAATTTATTTGCCATTCCCAAGAACACAAAACATACAACACGTGTTTGCTTCGAACATCCCCGAAAGCCAAGCAATTCACAACGCCATCTGGAGGACTCCAGGTGTGCAGGAATGTCTGGAAACGGATGTGGTGGGCACTCCAGTCACTCCAAGGGCTCCCTCCAGGCTTTCTTGATCTCTGTGTGGTCGCAATGCTCTGCGGGATTCTGCTCTGGGGGTGGGCACTCCATGCTGAGCCCATGCTCGGCTTGCTTCTTCTGGTGCGTGCCTCAAGAACCCCCAAGTCGTCGCTGCAAGCAGGCTGAAAACTGCATTGGCGTTAGGGCCTCCTGAAGAAACTCCATGGAGCTTTCCCGTGATCCCTGGCCTGAACCCTGCAGCACACATCTCCCAACCCTGTCAAAGTCGGATGAACTGGGGACACTGTCGCCCGAATTCTAGAGCTCGCACCCAGCCGGATCATCACAGCCTGACAATGAGGGCATCCTGGCTCCCTCATGCCGCAGGTGCAAAGTAAGAAAGACATGGCCAATTTTGCTGCACGCAAGGAGGCAAGGCATGTTCTTGTTGGGTGTAAAGATACCGTGGTAGCACGCCGGGATCCGCAACGAGGATATGCCGCCCAACGTGCAGTACAAGGCTCTTCAGCAAGGGTCCGCAAGCATAGGTGGAAAGTTGCACTGCCACCTCTGGAATGGGCATGACCCATTGCAGGATGATGGTTCTGGATGGGATGCAGACTTCGCGACTTGCTCCTGAGCCCAGATGAACTGCGCATGGAGTGCGCAGTCTTGCAGCAGGGGTCCTCAAAGTAGCCCCTTATGTGCGCATATATCCCCTTATCGACTAAAGCATGAAGCGGATCTCCCTAGCACGGGTCCACGATGGGCGGGTACATCAAGGACCCCTACTCTGGCCTTCAATTTGGCCGAGCGGCTATGGAGCTGCAAGCTCGTCGCGTCGCAGGGTCTAGTGCGAACTGTTTGACACTCGGCTTTTTCGACGTTTTCCAGAGAGAGCTCTCTGAACAACATGCGCACGTCCGGCCTCGTTTGTGGACATGCTCGCAAAACCTGTGGGCCAGTGAGGCTGTCCCACCTTAAGCGTCGCAGAATCAAAACATGTCGTTGGGATTAGGGAGCCGTAACGTGCTTCGGCTTAGTTACACGATAACACGTATACCAGAATAGCCCCAGCAGGCACAAGCCGGCTGCAGACTCTGCAGAGTGAATTCCAAGAACACGATGGTGAGGCCTGCTTTTGGTTCTGGAGCTGGCACACTGGAAATATTTGGAGATGCATCCAGCGACTAGCAGCAACGACCCAAGGTGTACTAAACCAGTCTGGTAGGACATTGCCAGTGTCCCTTGACTTCTATGATATTTCTCTGTGTAAGTTGGCTGGTAAAGCTGCGTCAGAAGTACATTCCTGTGACTGACTTACACTGTCGCTCGCGCCTGGCATGTCCCAACCCGGCACCAAGACTCCTGACACAAACCGGCAGAAACCGATCCATAAACCGATATGCTTGCGAGCGTCACTGTGGCCAGGGTCAGCAGCTCAGCGAGAAAGCCAGCCAGCAAGGGGCCGAGTCCACCCTCCAGTGGCCCTCCAGGTTTGCCTCTTGGAGCAAATCTGCGACAGCTTAGGCTGGAGAAGGAGACGGCAGATCTTCAGGGGAAAGTCCACGAGGCTCAGAACAAGAAGGAGGCATCCGGCGATGGCTGTGTCAGCAAACAATGCGAAAGCTGTGGGTACGACATGGTATACGCGCGTTCAAGCAAAGGATCTGGTGGGACAACTGGCCAAGAAAGAGCAAGAGCACGAAGAACTACTGGTTCGGAGCTGAGGAAGTTGCACCCGTTGCTTGCACACGCTGCACAGTCGGCACCGCCTGCTAGGTAAGAAAAGCCGATCTTAACGCAGAGCTCGAGGACTGGAAGTCGAGAGCAGCTTTTGCCCAGAACCCAAGTCACTGCAAGGACCTCAAAAAGAAAATCCGATGCGTAGTCTCCTGAGATCTGGATTGTGTAGCAAGACATGCAAGACCAAAGATTGAACATGTTGGATCCATCATATCCTTTGGGAAAAGTGGCTTTGTGGCACTCAACAATAACAAACTCCAGCCCAAAGAGGCCGGGGCATGTTCACCATGCGGGCACGCACAATCATGCATGCCTTTTCGTTTCAACGAGCTGAGCAAAACCTGCTTGGGCTCCATCATTCGTAAGCACCACGGCAAAGATGCAAAAGAAACAGCGACGGACTAGCTTCGGCAATTGATGAAATGCACATGGATGATTGTCTGATGTCATCCTGTTCCTGGGGCGTGACGTTCAGCTCAAAGAGCAGGGTTGCCCTTTTTTGGCGCAGATCCAAGAGCCTGCACAGCTCGGGAGGCTTGCAGCCCTTCGGTGCCGTGCGAGCCCAGCATGTCAATGGCCAAGGTGAGCCCAGACAAAGCTTGCCCTTGTGCGCGAAGGCGGCACGCGCATGCGGACGTCACCTTGAGGCTCAAGACGTACATGCCCGACAGCGCCTCGGCATGGGAGTGCACAAGCCGACAAAGCACAAGCTTTGCAGCGTTCCCTACTGTGGGTTCGAAGGCTTTGCCTGCGAATCTCCAGGCCACAACAAGCACGGCACCTACACCACATTGGCGGCGTCATGAAGTCTTGCTTGAGGTCTGGGCATCAACCTTTGCCACGGCAGATAGCCACTTGGCCTGGGTCGGTGGCAACTGAAGTACAGGAAGTGCACAACACCCCCTACGAGCAGAAGCACCTGGCCTTCCCAGTGCTGGGAGATACTTCCCCCCGCCGCTTCGGAGCCTGCGGAGATGGTTGGCAAGTGCCACAGGAGATGGCCTCGATGCATAAGTATGAGCATGGAATCTCCAGACCCTGTCTTCCTGCCGGCCGTCACTCCAATCTGGAATGGGGCACCTGAGGTTCAAGAAACTCGAAACCTGCACGAGCCGCGGTTTGTAGCTCTGATTTGCCTGCATGTCAAGCAGGTCGATGTTATCAAAGAGCCCCGAGTCCCATGCACAAAAGTTCCTACACGCCTTTGGTATCTTGAGGAGGATGCGAAAAGCCTTCAGTTCGCTGGTTGGTGCGTAGCGAAGCGAAGCACTGTAAGCGTCTCGTTGTTGCCTCGAAAACAGTTTGCAGCGTCGTAGCCTTTGCAGCTCGAAGGGTCTGCAAGGGTAGAGATAGGTTCTTGCTAGGCGTGTTCTTTCGATTTGCCCGCCGCCCCATGCAATTTGGCAGTTTCATGCTAGGATGGCTGAAATCAGCTGAACTCCTCGATTTGTGCATCCCAGGAAAATGATGCACAGGGTGTCACGGGTCGTGAGGGTTGGCGGGAGGGACTTTTCTGTGAATACAACTCTAGAGACATCAATAATCGGGGCCCCTAAAACAACCTCAGCATCCAGAAGACATGAAGATGAGGCGTGTAGGCAATGGTTACGACCTGTTAGCGATACAGTACGGCCTTGACTTGGGGGCATTCAGGAAAGTTCCTGGATCATGTTCGGCTCCGGGTTGAGGAGAGCCGGTTCCATCCCAACTTTTCCACCGCCGCCATACCACAAAAAGTGTGATCGGCGAAGGTCACTGCACCCTGTAAGGGTTTGCAATCCAATGGCACTTTGACTTAGCGACATCAAACGAAGGGGCTCGAGGCCACGAGGCTCTGCAGCGCTGATCGGACCTCGAAGGCTGTTGGATCTGCAGGCGCTCGGTTGCTCGCAGTTGCAAGTGGGCATCATGTGGGGCATCATGTGGGTCATGGTGGGCATCGACTGCAACGCATGGAGATGTCAGATGTCTGAAGGTGCTGCGGCGAAGCATGGTGCTCAAGACAAAGCTTACCGAGGCAGCTGATCGCACGGGACACGGTTCCCTGATTCCCTATTCAGCATTCCGCAGCAAGATCTCAAGAATTCTAGTTTCATGGATCTAAGTCTGCAATGCTTCAGCACCTTGAATATGCGCGCGTGAAACGCCGTGCACCAGGAAAGAACACACATTATATGTGCTGATGCTTTCAGGCGCTGGGCATCAAGCTGGACCCTCAGCTCTACAGACGGATCCACATGTTGCTGGATCCACACGTTGCTGAGCCCTAAGAGTCGCGACCAACAAGGCATCCCATCATTCAGGGCGGGCGCCGGGCTCAAAACTGTTGTGGCAGGCTTGAGGAGAGACTTGCACTACCCAGTATCTTCACGAAGAACCGTTTGTGGATTTGCAAACCCTGCGCTCGCCTCCTGGAATGGTCTGCAAGTGCTCTTTAGTCATGGCACGGATGTTGCTGCAGGCTAGAAACTTGCTAGTCCAGCCCAGTCTACTCACGATCAGCTTGCCGATGTGGGGGTAGCCACCGGCAGTATCAGCATCATGCTAGACTTTATAATTCGCGGAAGATGGCGCGACAACTCAGCATGAGACGCCTGACTGCAGTGGACGGCGTGCCCCAGTGCTTGATGGGAATGCAGATCTTGAGATGCGCAGCTCGTCAGATGGGCAGAACTTGGTCGGTTTTTCTTTGTGTTCCATCCCGTGGTAAGGGCCCCACAGCCATGACACCAAGGAGCTCCGTTTTGAATGTGATGGTTCTGGGTTTTTTGTAGGGGTTTGTTGCGGGGTTGCGCAGCTAACCACACGTTCCCCTCTAGCACGATTGCATCAGCATCCACAGCCCTCGACCAACATCCTTGCAAATGGGGACAAAGCACAAGCATCTCCGAAAGCTCGAGCAAGAGCGCATCAACATACAATGCCTGGGACACTTTGCAAAAGGGGTTTACAAGGATAACAGAAGAACGAAAAAGACAGACAAGTTCTTCCTCAGCATGGGCAAGTGCGAAGGACATCGACAGGACAGGTGTGTTGTGTCCATGCTGTGCATCCAGGTGAAGTGGAAAGCTTTGTACCGAACACATGCCGGACACCAGGAAGACCCGGGTGAAGGGGCATGCCTCGCTGCACCGTCTGAAGGAATGGTGCAGCAAGAAATGAGATGAGGATGCACGAATGGATGACACAAGGAGGTAGTTGGGAAGGGGGTCTTCGCTGAAAGGGACCCCTTCCCCACCTGGCCCTCTTGTTCCTGCATGTCGCATTGCCACTCACCATGCACAGGTGCGCGCACACGCATATCCAAGAGCCTTCGACTGCACAAAAGACTGCACAAAGCTTATTCTCATGCATCTTCCATTCCACAAACATGTTTAAGGTCATGTAGTAGGTCGTTTCACTCACTACATTATAAGGGTTTTAAGGGCTAGGAGTCTAGTCCTGAACCAGAAGGCCCTTAACAACCACTAGGAAGAAACTAGGTCACGCCGCTGTTAGCGGGCCTGGACAGTTTGCACGCGGAAATGTGGTTTTTCCCCACGCAGGACAGTGTTCGAGAAAAAAAGGGTTTTGTCGGCGGAAGTTATTTTTCAGGACTTGAAGTGATTATAAGGTGGTCTCAAAAGTACCACGCCTGCCAGTGTTTTCAGCATTTCGCAGTGCTTACTGTGGGGATGCGGTTTTGCGACTTTTGCGCGTTTTTAGGTTTTGTGTTTTGTCACTGTTCAGGGTGGAACGAGGTAACTGCAATGTCTTGAAAAGTGCCACGCCCGCCAGTGTTTTTAGCATTTCGCATGTTTTTTGGGGAGCTGGAGTGTTCAGGGTGCAACGGGCTTGCAGTGGTTCAAGTTTAGGGCTTTGGGGTTGCGCAGAGACGTTAAGCACGGAAAGCACGGTTTTGGTCGCGAAAGGCATGGACGCTTGTGACAGATTTTCTTGTTCCACATCCTTGTGCAGTATGTTGTACAAAGAGGCGAAAACGCTGTAAATACCAGTGTTTTGTGCATGGACGCAATATGAATGACGTTCTTATCCCCACCCCAACCCTCCCCACCCCAAACAAGACAACCGGAACAAGTCACCAAGAAGTGCCAAAACTAACGTTTTACCCAGGGCCGCTAACAACGGCGTGAGCATAACTACCATTATAGCGGGCCTTTGAATATCATTGTTTGCTTCGTTCAGGCCCGCTAGAACACGCACGCTTTTCGCCAGCCCGCCAGCCACAAACTCGCGTTTTGCATTAAAGGCATAAGGTTCAGAGCTTTATGTCGAAAAAAACACCAAAAAAGAGCATGGACCGAAACATCCGATTTCTCCGAGCCGGAGCCCATCCACGTAGAGCTAGTACGCAGGCCGTTCCATCACCATGCCGGCTACGAGATACCGAGGGGCATAACAAGCAACAGATCCATATGATAGATATGTGTCGGGAGCGTGCCTTGATCATGTGGACACGAGCACTCCTGCACTCCTGCAGATATCTAGCCTTGGGCCTTGCTAATGGCCCAAGTCCTGGCGAGCGGAACTCTCCCGTGCACGTCATGTCGTCACAAAAGCATCTGCTGTGAAGGTGAGCATCCTGGCACTCGGCATGTGCCTGTGTCAGAGACTGGGCTTTAATTCAGCACGGGGGCATCTACATAGAAGTCACATAACCTGACTTCCTCCTCCATGGGCTCATTTGCATGAGAAAGGAGGTTCAGAGGCGGAATCTGCTCTCGAAACTGCTCAGGGTCCCTGATCTAAGGGCGTTCCTTGATGCAGCACGAACGAGGGTCACCAGAACCTTTAGGCCAGTGACAAGACTGCGACCTACAGCGGTCACCCAGCTGGCTGCAGCTGATAGCGAGCCTCGGCTGCATGGCTCCTTGCTGGTGCTTGCAAGGATGCAAGGATAAGGTCACAGACGTGTTCAGCTGAGGATGTGTTTGGCCAAGTTGCAGACTTATTCCAGGGGCCTGCATTTGAAGAAGGCGACACCTCTTTCAGCCCTACAATTCCTAGCGATCCTACTCTGCAAGAATTAACTGAACCACTCCCCTCCTCGCTTCAGTTCTGAGGCGAACAGTGGCGAGCTTTGACGCGAATCAAAGTTCGCAAAGAGCCGAGTGTTAAAGCGCCGCAGTTGGAGGACAAAGTCATTGAGAAAGGACCTTGGCCGCACTTCCGGATCATCGGCCAGTGTTTTGTTTGTTCTACAGCTCTACGGGCCAAGTCCCATCCCTGCACAGCTCCAGGCCTGCAGTCCAGGTTTATGGGGTTTGCGGTGTCACGCTTTCAAAGTCCTGCTTGGCCACGAATGGAGGCCTGGGCTTAGGGCTTCCAGCGGTTCACTTTGGTTCTTTTAGAGTTAGGGCTTAGGTTTTTTGTTGGGGATTCCTTTTGTTGGTTGCTTTGGGGCTTCAGGGTTACGTAACCGATATTCACCTGCCATGGGGCCTATAAATCAAGCCACAAGTTTCATTTTTATTATCAACCATTCAAATACCAAAAACAGCAAAAACAATTATTCTACTTCGAACATCCCCACCCTCTTGGTAGAGATGCTCTAGGGTTGGGCACTCCAGGGAGCTGGGCACTCCGGGAGGGGGTTGGGCAATACGGAAAATGTGGGGTTGGGCTCCAGGGAGACTCTGGGGTTGGGCACTCCAGGGAGACTGTGGGGTGGGACTTCGGGCAAAGTCTGGGGTCGGGCACTCCAGGCAAACTCTGGGGCTGGGCAGTCCAGGAAGACTGGGGTGGACATTCCAGGGACACTCTGGGGCTGGGCACTCTGGGGACACTCTGGCAAGTCTGGGCTTGGGCACTCCTGAATTTGGGCACTCCAGGGACGTTTGGGGTTGGGCACCCTAGGGATGAGCGAGGAGAAGAGTTCCGGGCGAGGAGACGAGTTGAGTTTAAAATCTAGGAAACAAAGACAACGCATGCAAAGAAGAACGAGTAAAAGCAAACGAGAGTCCAAGGTGCCATCTTCTACGTCGCAGAAAAGCGCAGGGCCAAGATCCCGACAGGCGGGGGGCAAAATGTCTTGTCGGATAGCCTAATGGCCTAATGGATTGCATGAGTCGCTGAGTAGCGTGCAGACTTGAAGCCGTTTCTTAAGTTGGCAGAGGCACAGTTCTAGCGACTGCCGCGTGCTGCGGCCCACCAGTGGGAGAAACGCTGGTTCCGACTTGGACAGGTGGCAAGCACCGCTTATATCTGCGACTTGCTGCCGGCACAGGCCAGACTCTGCAACCCTTTCCACTGGTGTCACTGGTTGCAGTTGCATGGCGTGCCACTTGAAGTCTTTGAAGGATGGGTCTTCGACCTCGGAGTGGCAGGAGAATGGCAGCCAAGCTTCTTAGCTGCTTTGTTTGCACCGCACTCTTCCATTAGTGGTCCCAGGTATGGAAAACCCATTGCCGAGCCTGTCTACGAGGACGAGTCTGATGACAGTCCAAATCCATTCGGCAACATTGGCGCCTTGTCAATGAATATAACATTCATATAACATTTATATGCGCTTCTCCTTTTGACGAATGCCTGTGGGCTTTCTCGAGCAAGTTTGATTGGGGAAGCTTGAGGTGATGCTGTCGGCGGCATGTTGAGATGATACCTTGCGCATGCCGACGTCGGACGGTGCAAAAATGCGTCAAACTTGTTCGTGCGGCCTTTGCCCATCAGCCAGAAACTTGGCTGCTTTTGCACTTTGCCGCAGCAACTTCCAAGTTAAGGATGCACTACGTTGGCTATGCGGAAATGGCTGCAGCAGTGTCCAACGCTGGTGGTCTCGGGACCCTTGCATCGCATCCGATGGCACTGCATATGGGAAGTTTGTTGCACTTGCCGATGAGTTCTTAAGAGACCAACCCAGGATCATCACGGCATTGACCGTGGCCCAGCCTCCAAAGGGCAAGGAAGCTTTGCGAGACGAGATCAGGACAAGTCAGAGCGCAATTGATTGCTTTCCAAGTGCATGCAAGCATCATGCAGATTCAGGAAATGCCGTCAACTGACTGACAAGACATGAACCTAGTCGCATCGCGCGTGTTGCGTCAGCACAGTTCTGTGTAGTTTCGTCCACCCTGTCATGGACGAACCATCAACGAATGCAAAGTTGTAAGGCCCTTTGGTGTCAACATCACGTCACGGGCTGAGAGGCAAACAGAGCTCTGTGTTGCAGTTATCTGCGGTCTTTTCGCTCAACACCTTTGCCTGTCTGAGGGTTTCACTTCAAGCAAACTTTAGCAGAATATTGAGGTGGTGCTGCTACGTGACACTCTCCTGCTCCGAGGTTGTTGCCAGTAGGGGTTCCACCAGACTTCGACGGCATCGTGCAAGACGCAGCCTAAGCTAAACTGAGCTGAATTGAATCAAACTGACCGGACAGAGACAAAAGCGTCTCAGAACATGAAGCATTGACCTCAGCGCGCGAGGTGCTGATAGAAGAAAAGATCAAGGTGGTGGAAACTGCCGGACGCAACCCCGAGAAGGTCATCAAGCAGTGCAAGGCACTGATTTTCATGAGGCTAGCATCAGCTCCACCAGCTGGACTGCTTCAGCTCAGCAGCGCTTGTAATTTTCATACACCGAAGCAGGATGCTGGCATGTTCGTCATCCACAAGTGCGTGGCAGTGAGGCACGCGCTCACGGCCCAGAAGATGGGCACGCACCTCAGTCCAAGAATCAGGGCCCGTCGGCCTCCGAGAGCCCTCCATGCATTGAACTCGTTCAAGGTGCTGACATGATTTCCATGGATGGTTTCGATTGCGGTGGCCATCCAGGCAGTTCGCTGTCACCTGATGCCCAGTCCTTACGAAGTAAGTCTGTCCAGGTGAGGAAGATGTGGGGAACTGGGTGCTTTTGGCGCAGGCTGCGCAGGACTGAAGCAAGCTGATAGAAACTTGACATCAGGGTAGGACTCGGAAGTCGGAAATGCAGGAGCTGTCCATTCCGTTCGTTGCAAGCGGAGGCCATGAGCGACGGCTGTTTCTGGCATCAACAAAAAAACTCTGTGCGTCAGAAAAAATATACAGATGTGGACTCCAGTGGCCACCTGATATCTGAATTCTTGATCCAAAATGGAGTACGTACGTATTCCTAGCATCTGCTTTTCAGGGAACCACCTGCGAATGCAGGCTATGCCTCATAAACGTAATGAGTTCAGCTGTCGGCTTGGATGTCTGGTCAGTTCTGCTTCAAGCCACGATGCCGAGCATTCTGGTCGCTGCAGGTACCGCAACGGGGACACAGCTGGCAGCAGCGCTGGCCATGGGCGCGCGCCTGCAACAACAGTAGTTAACATGATAGACTCTGATAGACGCACAAGCCGCTTACAAGCCCGTGCAGAGGCGCTGAGGGTGTGAACATGGGCACTCGCTTTATGGCGACCAAAGAGGCCAGCGCTTGTCCAGATAAGTTGCAGTTGTTTCGGTTACTCCTGAGAAGGTACGAGAGCAGAAGTCCCATTAAAGTGGCGCAAGATTCGCATCTTGAGGCACCCATTGTCCAGCCCATGAAAGATGTCATGGTGAAGGCAAAAGTGACGGACCCCCTGCAAGCAGACGACTTGACACACTTGCAATCGCCAGCATGCTTCCGAAAAACACCAGCTCTTTTGCACAGTGCAGGACACAACCCATGTCTTCCGCAGCTTGAAAAACACTGAGCGGGTGTACAAGAACAAGACTGCAAACGAGGCTCCCATGGCTGGGCATGCGCATGTGTCTGGACTTGCACTTCGCAAGCGAAGGGACAGGCTCGCAGTGGAAAGACTGTAGCAATACTGACATGGCAGCGGACCTCGACGCTGCAGCTGGCCAGCACATCATGTGACGAACGTGCCGTGAAGCCAGACCCTGATGATGGAGGAGCCGCACGAGGTCGGATGTGCGGTCCACGAATGCAAAAGTGAGGGCTTAGTAGTACTGATTCAGTACTGATTTCGTAGTTCGCTCTGGCCATTCCATGTGAACTCCCAAGAGAGGGGATGTTCACGTTGGCTCCGTGGGTAAAGGCGCAAATCCAGCTGCAGTTCATGCCGCTGCTCAATGACACCTGGCTGACCCAGCCATCTCAGCCCCGAAACATCCTGAAAACTTGTAGTCACAAAGGTGCACATCAGGCATTCGCAAGCGATGTGGCAGCACAGGCTTGTCCAGAATTGCTGGCCCTGCTTCACGCGGCCGGCCTAACTTCTGCCGCTGCCTTGGCCGCCACCTGCAGCTGCGCGGTCTCTGTGCGGAACGCGCTCCCAGAGGCCCAGTCGTCGTGGATCGTCATTTGTCATAAGGCATTCAGATGTTATATATATATATATATATGCTTTTGACGAAACATGTGTGTGCACAATTCTGTTGTGTCCTTGCAGGTGGCGCGCTGCGCACCAGCCGCAGGCCGAGTGCTTTGCGATGTTCTGCGAGTCGTTGTGTCAGAACTTGGACATATCTAGTTTGCAAACTGGTGAGTTACGACTCCGGCCATGCTTCGGAGACAACAAACCGTCCCAAGTTCCTGGGATGGCTTTGGACGCGTCAACCGGCAATTGCAGCGCAGCCTGCAGTGAACCTGAGGTTCCCGCGTCCCTCATTTCGGATCGGGGGCCTCTAAAGTGGCTGGAAATGGTTTCGCGAATCCCTGGAGGGGAGGTCCACACCAAAATGGATTTTGAAGAGCCATGATTTCGACGTCAAACACTGTACTCGGACGTACTCGGGCGCACTCGGGCGTACTCGGGCGTACTCGGGCGTACTCGGGCGTACTCGGGCGTACTCGGGCGTACTCGGACGTACTCGGGCGCACTCGAGCGTACTCGGGCGTACTCGGGTGTACTCGGGCGTACTCGGGCGTACTCGGGCGTACTCGGACGTACTCGGGCGTACTCGGGCGTACTCGGCCTGCAGTCGCGGAACGCGGCCGCAATGTCAAAAACGACTTCATGATACTCCTTAGGCCCAGTGGGTCTCGGCGGATAGTTAGGAGCCATGCCAAATAACGTGCGAAAGACTGCAAGAAGCACGACGTGACCGCGAGTAACATGATCAAGGTATCACTGTGTTCAAAAAAACCTCCCGGCAGGTGTACTACTGCTACGTGCTGAGTACCCTCAACTGCTACATTGTCCTGACTTGTCGGTCGGCGCATGGCACGAGGTGCCGCTTCCAGAGGCCGCAGACTAGCCATAACACCACACGTGAACCAGTGCTTCTAGCATCAGAAGTTACAATGCCCCACAAAGCCCCCACAAGTCGAGATGGTAGCACTGGCAGTATACTGCAGGACAGTTAGGGCCGCTCAGGGAAGCTGAGCTTGAATGCTGTAGTTCTGCCGGTTGTTCGCAGAAACACGGCCAGGGCACGCCGACTTATCTATGCTGCGCGGCCACCTTTCATCGGGATCATATCTATATCGTTGGCTTTCTGGCAGCACCAGACAAAAGACGTGAGCTGTTGGGGGATACATTGATACATCCACATCGAAAGTGCTTGGCGTGAGATCCGTGCAGTGAGTTCGGCTGAGGGGGCGGCGCGCCGTACCTTGATGGCAAAGTGGCCTACGCCACAAGCTATGATTTGAAGAGCGGCACATGGCTGGAGTTGCCGCCCATGCCGACAGCCAGGACGCCCAAAGTTCAGCTGAATTCAGGAAATCAGCGCTGCTTGAAATCCCCAGCCGAACACCCGCCAAGCACAGCAAAGCAGGAGCCATTGTGCGGCTGTCGGCGTATCTGGGAGGTTGATGGCGCCCTGCCCGCCCAACATCTCCTTAAGTGATTTTTAAGTGCAGTTCGGTGCAGTGTAGTCATGCACTGGTCGGGTGCATTTCGGTGGTCATGTCCTGCAGCCCTGCAGCCGAAGCTTCGAAGTTGACTTACAAACCTGAATCAACTCAAAGCGGGCCGAACCATGCTCACGATGGTATGGCGTGAGCCGACTGGGCCCATCGTTCCAAATCCGAGCTTCCGCCCCCAGCCCGAGATGCTTCCCTGATTCTTACCGACTCTTGGGGACTGCATCGCAGGCGGAGGTGGAAACCAAGATGCTTAGAGCATCAAATTCCATTCTTGCCTTGTAATTAATGCTGAACCCCCAACAAGCCGAAGCTTGTTCATCACACGATGCTGCTTTACGGACCACTTGGTATGATTCCTCAGCTTTGAACCGACAGCCCTGTTTAACGAAGTGGTCCTTCAACCGCTTCTGCCGCTTTTCGAATCGCAGCAGAATATCCCCCTACATGCTTATACTGAAGGTGATTGGTGGCTTAGCCGATGATCACCAGAAAATGGACACGGTGGAGGTGCTCGATCTTGAACAAGGAGGCGGCGTCTGAGTACATTCAGAGCCGTTTAAATGTGTCGTTTTATGTGTCTTCTCAGCATTCCTTTGGCAGCCCTGCTTCGCCAAGGAGAATGGGAGGGTTGGTCCTCCCTGCCAACTTCTTTAAGCCCGCCGGCGCTTCAATGCTTGAACAGCACAAATATGCGCTCGTCTACATACATTGCATACACTGCTTACATACACTACTTTCCTCTACTACATGTCTGCAGTATGCATCGACATGCCGGTCTTCTGCCCGGCACCTCCATGCATCTCCTGTATTCTGCCTGAGGCTGGTGTTCAGCACTGTTTGCCTGGAGACTGGGCTGTGTGGTGACGATGGGCTGTGACGATCGTCAGTCGCACCTGTTCCGTTTTGAGCTAGCCACCAGAGAATGGGTGGCCCTTCCTCAGATGCCTCGCCAAAGATGGCACCCTGCACTTGTAGAGATGGCACAGTATCTGTTCACAATTGGCGGCATCATCCTTCCCGATGAAGAAGTCGGTGCTGTGGATGTCTTTGACTTGCGGGCTGGTCGGTGGGAGAGCATACATGGCCTAAGTGGCCTAAGCATCCCCGACATGCCAGAGGCTCGCATGGACCCCGCTGCGTGTGCCTGCGCAGGCCGGCTGTACGTGCTTGGCGGCATGCAAGCTGGTCCTACGGAAGTAGTTGAGTGCCTGGACCTTTGCTCAAAACAATGGCAAAGGCTGCCGGACATGAAGGATCGATTCTCAGCAACAGGCACAGCAATAACTTGCATTGGATGACAAGCGGCTACTGGACAATCTGGATAGCGTTGCGTGTGAAGCCCGACTCCAACCTGACAACGTGACGCCACAAGCATGTGGGGGGCGCACCAATGCTGATCGTCTCGGGGCATCGTGTCCATGACGATCCACGACACATAGCCTGGCCTGGTGAGCAAAGCGAGCAACGCGATGGACCTTTTGAAGATGGACTCCTCGGATCGCAAATTGCAAATCTTCACCATTTGCCCCGGCGGCGTGCAGAAATCAAAGCCCGACTAAAGGAAAGTGTGCTTAGTTTGTGCTTAGTTTGGCACTTCCGTGATCGAGAGTCGCATCACAGCTCTACGCGAGAAATGCCTTAGACTTTGCCTCTGCAGGTCCGCCAAATCGAAGCCGAGAAACCTGGGGACTGAGAGGGTCACAGGAATATTCCTGTATTTACACGGTTCTTTGCTTCCAAGATGTGAAACCGTCAGCTGTGCGATTTTTTTTTAATGCGCAGGATTTTTTTGCCATCGCTCACTTGGTGAAAGGTGTCTGACTCAGAATCAGTTCTCGGTGAAGGTCCTGTTGTAGGGGGCCAGGATCTGCATCTGCAGCTGGGCTAAAGTGGCACCAGCAAAACTCATAGAAACTTGGGCGAGCTACCAGTCAGCCACAAACAGGGATGTTGCACATACTGTCCGCCGAAACTTGCCAAGGCGAAAACTACCGAAAGTCCTTCCAGGCCAGCGACAACGGTGCGTAGATCAGTCGTGCGATCGGAACGCAGCTTTTAGCCGCTGGCTTCCAGGAGACTGGAGATGCTGAGAGCTCTGTTTGGCCGGACACTAAGTCGAGAAGTGGGGCTTTCTTACAGTAGAACGGTGGGGCGCCTTCAATGAGTTTTTTTGCCCTTGCCAGAATCTTTCATGGTAGTTAGTCGTCCGTATGTAGTTGTGATTGCCTTAAAGTGAGAGCACGTTTGGGGAGGTCCTGCGGCCAGTCCATTGGCCTGATCAAGGATATCCCCACTTGCCAGGACTGCACTTTTCTTCTCAGAGCTTGAGCTGATGCCCTTGCAAGTAGGCAGACTTGTGCCGAAGGAGCTTCTGGACAGAATGGTTCATGCCTCGGTGTTTCAGAAGAAAGCACCATCAAGTCGATGCAGTTTGGGGCATCCGGCTGTGCAGGGGTGCATCGTAATTGCCGCGCGGCAGATTCGCTCTGTTCGGGACGGCACGACGCAAGCGATCATGAAGGAAGGCTTGTGTCGGTCATGCACTCTCGAAGCTTGAGGTGGGCGAAGCCGAGGACATCATCAGGAACAAGCTGCAGTCAAAGCTGTAAGATTTGCGCGGTTTGGACTCGTTAGCATAGCTAGTATGTTTTGCTGCGTGCTCATCACCCCGAACGGTTGCTTCAGAAGCATCACAAATGTGCAGCAAAGGTTCAGAAGAACCGATGCTGGCAAGTAGGATTTCACCTGGCATCACCTTCATCGGTGCACGCGGGTGCTAGCAACTCCGGCTTAGCAGGTGCAACTGTTTGGGTTGCACCTGTCAGCAGAAGTGTGGTGGGTGGCACTGGTCAAGCTCTTAATTGGGATGGAGACACTTTTCCGATTCAACGATCTCCACCATGGTACAGGATGCCTTCAAAGAGAATTCTTTTGACTAGCGCAGCATGCCAAAGACCAGTATCACCTGGCTGGCTCGGAACCATACCGAACCGCTCCCGTGAGCTTCCTGGAAGGCTATGTAGGAGCCGCGCCTCAGCTGCGCGGTTATCATGGTGACACTGAGCGCAAAGCTGCAGGGGCAGATGTTTCCAGGGCAGGGCCTATTCTTGTCATGCTTGTCATGACTTGTCATGCTTTTGCTTTCCGGAGAGTCCGGAGCGGCCATTTCTGAGGGCATCGTACCCAGTACCAACACTGCCAGGGAAGTCGGGGCAGCTCCAGTCGGTCCAGGAAAAAAAGGAAAGCAGGTGTTGCTAAGGGATGGCCATCCGAAAGGGAAGGTCGATGAATAAACCACTGCCTTTTCACACTTCCGGTCTCAACGTAGAAACAGACTGCAAGCCATGGCGGCAGAATGGGCCCACGCCCGGCTTCTGCCGAACCAAATCGGCGTGGCTCGGACCCGTTTAAATTCCCGGAAGCCAAATCAGCCTGCCGACGAGGGCGGGGGGGGGGGGGTTCCTCATGCTGCATGGACAGCTCGGGGAGTATGTATGCCAGGTCGCCCGAGCGCAGCCCCAGAAGTGTCAGCAACAGGTTCGCTGATTGCCATTGGGAGGGCACTTTGACAGACTTTGCCCATTCATCATGACACGGAGCTCCGGTCCTGGAGCCCTTGTAGGCCGCGCTGTTGCCGAAGGAGCAAGGAGGACAACTTGTCGTGATAGTGTTGCGATGTGGCTTCATCGCTGACTCAGACAAGCAGCACCTTTTGAGTTGAAGCACATGCTGTCAGGACATACCTTCTTCCATTCGGGCAGTCTGCAAGGCACACCAAGTGTCGAGCCACATACACGCGACACAGACGAGACGTCATAGCAAGCACAAAAGCATGAATCACACAAAACATGACTTCAGGGCGAATCCATCAGCTGTCGGCCTTTCGGTGAGGCTACATGGCTCCAGGGATTCCTCGGAGAGACCTGCGCCGACACCCGTCGGAGGCTCATGGAGGCTCCAAAGAATTTTGAAAATGTTTGTTCAGACGCCTCGCTGCGCGCATCCCAGGCTTCTTTGGCGCCGACGGCCCTCTTGGACCAGCTGCGAACGGTGCCAGCCTTATTTCACAGACTCCTGCGGCGTCCTGCGGGCACGAGCAGGGCATCCCTGAATTCTTTTTATTCTTTCTGCCGAGTCTGTGAAGGTCTGTAGCTGGCACAACTGGCCCCGCAAAGGCATTAGCCGCAGAGAAGCGGTCGAAGGCCGAAGCACTTCAGGCAGAGCACTGGCAGAGCTCCTCGCAAGCTCCGTTGAAATTTGACACCTAAACACCGTCTGGTCAGTTCGGGCACCCAAAGACAGATCATAATCTAGAGAGCCGACCCACCTGCAATTTGTTGTATCCATTTCCTGGCCATGACTTGACAGGCTTTGCAAAGCGAGATGCAGGACTGCTTTGCTTTACCGGGCATATGAAGCCATCTCTGGAAGCTTCATGACACCATGGCCTTACGTATCTGTCATGGAGGCACAGCTGCAATCAGCGCACTGTCAATTTCGGAACGAGCTTGAAGAGACCAAGGCGCCTATAGAATACCACATGAGATCTCACAATCCTACTTGGGCATATGCTCAGGCGATTTGGCGTGCCGAACTGGCAGCGCAGCAACGTGAACAAGAGGCCTGCACTGAAGGCTGGGCAGGGGACCATGGTGAGGTCAAGGTTGAATGTTAAGTCGTTCGAGAGGGGTCCTACTGGTGCACGAATCCCAAGTCTCCGGCTCAGAAGGTTTAATGGCCGACTAGCTTGCCGATCTCTGCGTTTTGCTGGCCTTGCTGGCCTCTTCAGATTGCTGGTTGGGTTGTACCATACTGATCTTGAGATTTGCTGCAGGATGGGAATCGGAGGCCAATCGGCATGAAGCCGAGGCGGAAGCTTGCTCAAAGGGCCGAAACAATGCTGTCGATGCTTACCGGCCAGGTCAGGGCGGCACAGGGCTTTGAGGCTCAAACTCGAGCTGAAAGGGCTATGTGAAGCTCTTTAGGCGGTGCTTGATGAGTTCCATTCCCGTTTCCTTCCCGTTGACATCTCAGAAGAGGCAGCCTAAGCTTGGGTTGCAGAACAGGGTCGCAGCGGAGGGGCATAGCAGATGGCAAGCGAAAAGGAGCAAGTTAATGTCAGCTTCTGTTCGCACTGTCTCAGAAAGCAGGCGGAAGCCTGGGCAGCAAGCTCTCGGAATGAGGCTCTTTGAGTCTGTTTCTCATTGCTGCCTGGGGATACATTCAGTGCAGGACGTCATCAGAGATCTCAAAGAGCAGCTGGTTGAGAAAGAGGTTTTGGGCCAAAAGCTTGGATCACAAACTTGACCAGCACGTTGTTGAAAGGCTGAACTTCACAGATCCCGTGTTGAGGCACGTTTGCTAGCCAATGCATATCAGAAGGAATGTGCGATTGCAGCATGCAGGCCCAGGCGGCGATGGAATCGAGCAGAGTTGGCTGCTTGAGTTTGGCCTGCGTGCTCTTGAAAGTTTTGGTTGTCTTCTACTGGCTGCAGGCTTTCGCACATTTGGAGGCAGCAGCCGCGCAAGGCTACCCTCAGCAGCGTTGTGCTCATGATTCGGAGACCTTTGCTTTACATGCACTGGGCTGACAGGCCAGCGACATGAGAAGGATGCTGCTGAGTTGCGCGTCGCACTCCAAGAAATCGTTTGTTTTGCCATCATCGAATCACGAGCAGATGACGATGTCCTCTCCCTGTGCAAGGTAGCTGTCGGAGTTCTCACGGATCGTCTGACAAGACAGGAGCAGGCACAGGGACATCAGGGACAAGAGGATTGACGGCTGCTTATGGGGATCAGAAGCTGCTGCAGGCCCTCGCGCGTTTCCGCAAAGAGGCATCCATGGCCGGCTGCTCCATGTCAGAAGACCGCACAGCCCGGGGCCTGGCCATCACTTAGCTTCTCTACCATTTGGGAAACCTTAGATTCTTAGATTGGACCGTACAAGAGTTAGACACGCCGAAGTCACGGCTGGGCTAGAAGAGTCGCTATCCCATTGCCGCCAAGAGCAGATAAGCGCAGGACACACCCGGATCCCGTGCTGGAGTACTCCCACGGCCTCCGGTTACTACGCCTTTCGATCCGACCGTGCAAGGAAGCAGACTCCGATGCCCTCAAGCTTTGCAAGTTCTTATAGTTCGTTGTCATCTCTTACCATTTCTTGCCTCCTACCGTGTTGCCATGTTCAGAAGTTTTCGCCCAGGACGCTCAGCTGGCGCTCTTCGAGGTGTGGCAAGACTTGATGGAATTGGATCTTGCCCTCCTTGCAGTCCATATCCCTCCCGCACCCAGGCCTTGCAAGAGGCATGAAATCGGGATACGCGTGCTGCTTACATTGGCGAAGTGGAGACATACATGTCCACTTGCGATGGGTGCGAAAGAACAACCGTGCCCTGCGACTTTGAGGTGTCAAGGGCGGCAACTCCTTTGGCCCCAGTGTCGGAGGCAGCCGAAATTCGCATAATTCACTGAGCGGCACCTCGGGCTCGATGCACGTGACCGCAACGTGAGCATTGCAGGATGGACCTCCTTCCCCAGCGAGCGAGGCCACACAATGGCATGATGCCATCAGAGACGCGAGATACGCGAGTTAGGCTTTCGCATGCTTTTGAGGAGAGCTCGATGCACCCCATCCTAAGCGCTGTGGCCCTAGCACACCAGACCACATGTTCTCTTCCATAGCGCCTTGTGGTGGCCAAGGCAAGTCAAAGTTGGTCCGAGGCAACCGCTGGATCTTTCAAATGTATTCAATGTATTCACGAGGCACTATAGGAGCCGAAGGTGCAGTGAAGCGGACAGGTGTCGTGCAGCCAATCTGGCTCCTGGTTGCACGGACAACCTTCCCGGCAGCCAAAAACGAAATCAGCAATGCAATTGCAGAACCAAGACCCCAAAGCAAGCAAAACATGAACAGCATCAACCAGTGCTGGATGCAGCAAGTGGTTAGCGGCAGGACAGAACTGACAAGAGGCACATGCTCGCTCGTTTCCGGCGCAGCTATGCTTTCAAAACAGGCCTTGTTGTTTGTCGCCGTCCACATGGACAACCGGTGACGCTTACTGCACTTCGACGTGTGCTTTTTCTCATCTTGCCTCTTCTCGCAGGCATGCAGAGCAAACCTTTTTTGGCTCATCCCGGTACTGGCACTCCCGGCATGCGGAGAGCAGTTTGAAGCTGCCGCACGTTCGTGCACTCGAATCTGCGAACCTCCTCGCTAGGCAATGGATCACATGGATCATTGTTTCGATGAGCAGGCCCCCCCTCTTTCCATTAAGAGACTGCCCTGGCGAAAACATGATGAGTGTTGCATTCAGGAGGCAGCATTCGACGACGAAGCAGCTGCACAAGAAGTGCAGCTTCTGCAGAGGCAGCCTGGGGCTTACATGAGCCCAATGTCCGCATCAAAGCCCACTTGCACTAAGCTCTTATGACTCTTATGTTGGAGAGGTATCACCACTTGCGCCGGCCATCGGACTGGTCACCCTTTCAGAAGGCCACAAAGCCCAGAAATGGCCCAAGTGGGTGAGGCAACAGAAGTTCTGGCATGCACCGACGGTGACTGACGTGGCACGGTGTGGGCAGGACTTGGCACTGACCCATGTGCCATGCACTTTCGGTCACAGCGTGGAGATGGTAGCCCTGCCTCTTTTGTTCTTCCAGAGGTGAATATAAGATACTCCTGCGAATCGCTGATTGGCAGGCAGGCTTGCAGCTCCCCCGCAACGACCTGACAAACTGGCTTAAGGCCCTGGTAAGTGACGGCATCCCAGGTTGCAGAGGCTTTCATGCAGCTGCATGTGTCTTCATGCAGGTCTGGCAGTCCTTCAAGGCAGCAACTCCGCAGCAGGCATGGGAACCTGCTACAAGTAAGAAGCTGCCAGATTTCAACATTTTGGGTCAGACAGGGCCTGGATTTAATGCGGTCCGCCCCTGTCTCAGCAGTTCTGCACGAGAATATCCTGTGCCGCAACAGCCTCACCGAATCACCAAGGCCATGGCTCCGGATGTTCCGCTGTGGGGCATGATGGACACGAGCAATATGAGCAGACTTGCAGCACTCTTGCAGCGCATCGGCCTCCTGTGCGTTCCTGTGCGTCAGCCTTGTTTGTCAGGATCCGGTCTTGCGTGGCTTCTCAAAGCTGACCGGATGCCATCTGTACTATACACCACCAAAGCACGCTGCTCGAGTTGTGTGAAAGTCACGAGCTTTGCATGTTCACAAAGTCTTGCGCATGCTCTCAGGTATTTGCCACGGGATATCGGGGAGCAATACTACGGTAACAAGTCGGCGTTCACTTTTTTACGGGATCCGCCAGGGCCTTGCCATGTGACTTGAATCATCACGAATCCATGTTTCAAGGGCCAAGCTCTAAGACTTCCCTGCCCAGGTATGATAGAGCAGTGAACGATTTCCGGGCGCAGGTGCTGTGCGCGTGCGCGTGCGTGCGTGTGCGTGCGCGTGCGTCTGTTTCTGCGATGTGTTGCAGCAAGCTGGGCCTGGGAGGTGTTCGGCCTCGACTCGATTTTCACTATGAGCTGCCGACAAAATACCTCCCTGAGGGAAGGGCACGCAGAGAGAGAAAGCGAGCAATACCGAAGCTGGCGGGGCTGCTCAGTCTGTGGAGTGTCACTGGAGGCAACAGCATAGACGTCTTTCATCATACTTCCCTATTTGAGAAGCTAGAGTGAGGTACAGGACTTGCGACGTGAACTCCTACTTGAGAGCAGAGCTGCCTAAGGCCGCCGGGGGATGGAGGGGGGGGGCAGACGTGGTGGAACACGGCAGTGCTTCCCCCAACAGTTGCATTTCTTTGCCTCGACTTGACTGTCAGAGCTGGCACGAGGTGCTTGAAGGAGATATATATAGAGCTGATTGCCATTTCTTGCCCCAGGCCTTCCGCACGTGTCAAAGTGTCACGACTGTGGAAAGAACGAAAGCAACCTGGGGCAACAGGCGGAATATTTTGAGAACCCTTTTGCTGCAGCCTCAGCTCTGAAAACTACAAGGCATGAAGGCACAGCATGGCACTGCAGCCAGAGCGATTGTTTCTTTCGTCCCTAGGCGAACACAACTGCCATCGACAATCGGAAAGTCCCGGAGTCGTTCAATGCCCTCATGCTTGCCCCTGAGCGACAGCCGTAGCAGCCGTAGGAGCTGCTGCCCGACTGCTTGACTTGGCTGAGGGTGGAGCGTGGATACTTCAATGTTACAATGCCTCTTCCCCAGACAAAGCTCCAAGACTACAGGACGTGAGCATGGTTGCGACATCTTGCGACAAGCCTGGGCGATACAGTGTTACAGTCGATAGGCGGTGGCCCATTTCCTGTGAGGCCTCACACACTGCACAACTACGTGTGCAATAACATCAGTGTGACCCTAAGCAATTGAGGACGGTTGTTTCCCGTGAGCGTGCTTCCAAGAAGAAGTTGTCAGGTGCATACAGCTTGGCGGAGGATGTGAAAGCTCTTGTCCGCAAGGTCTATGCGAGGCTTCCTATCAATGTGGCACCAACAGCAAGATGGCTTGCATTACCCGTCTTACAGTGCATGGCAATGTCACAGGGACTTCGACCTCATCTGCAGTTTGTTTGGGTACTGCGACAGGGAAGAGGCTCACCTGGGGCATGCACGGTGCATACAACGACTAGAGCAAAGCGTTGACATGAAATAAGACTCCTTGCCAGGTCACTTGCCTTGGCCAGATTCCAAACATGCCAGCAACTTGGAGTCGTAGGGGTGCGCAGCATACAGTTACAGACGCATGCTTCCCATGGAGCTATTGCCCAGGTGTGGCGGAAAGCCCGGCGTAAATTCTCCGGCATTCTCCGCAAATGCAGACAAGGCCGCTGCGAGTACTCTGAGCAGCTGGTGTAGCGATGGCGACCCCACGTTATAGAAAGCTTGGTAAACAGGACGTCCGCTCCAAGTACTTCCCTGAGTGGCCATGCGGGCAACCTGGCGCCTAGTGCCCAGAGGGTCCAATGGGTCACAAAGGGTCACGGGGCCGAGGATGGCAGAGCTGCGGTAGTGCCGGTATGCAGTCGGGAGGGCACGGAGCGAAGCTGACAAAAAGCTGTGAGTGCTGTGCGTGCCTCTGCTCATCACCCCGTACCCGATGCGTGCCGTCAGTGACTTGCGGGAACAGCAGGCATCTTCCATGCCGGATGCTTTCAGTGCGGCTGCCTGCCCAGTCCGCTTTTTTCCAGGCTTTCAGTGAGTGGCAGTTGCTGCCACTCACAGCTGGCGGGTGCATGCGAGCAGCATACGAGCCGCATGCTGAGGCTAGACATATCGAACAAGGCGGTCGCGGAGGTGCGTTCACAGTTTTAGCTTAGCTAACTTCAAGAGTAATGAAAACATAGGTTTCTGTTCTGATGCCACGTGAAGGGGCGGGATGGGTACGGTGCGGGGGTGGGGGTGGGTACGGTGCGGGTGGTGCGGGTACGGTGGGGGTACGGTACGGGTACGGTGCGGGCACGGTACGGGTACGGTACGGGGTACGGTGCGGGGTACGGTATGGGGTACGGTACCCGTACCTACGTACCCGTACCTACGTACCCGTACCTACGTACCCGTACCTACGTACCCGTACCTACGTACCTACGTACCTACGTACCCGTACCCGTACCCGTACCGGCTCATGGGTTGCTAATAGCGGCTCATGGGCCGCTATTAGCGGCACAGGTGCGGGGTACGGGGTGCGGGGCGCGGGGTGCGGGGTGCGGGGTGCGGGGTGCGGGGTGCGGGGTGCGGGGTACGGGGTACGGGGTACGGCTACCCGTACCTTGTACATGTACCTGCCCCCTGTCCCTTGTACCTGCCATCCGCCCCCTGTACTCCGTACCCTCATCCTGGCCCAAAACGTCTGCGACAGAGCATTACTCTTAAAGTTAGATAAGTTTTAGCCATGCACCAGCCTGCGAGCCTCCGGACAGGAGCCCCTGAATCACTTGCCTCCTCTACTGGCTCCCTCGCCATGTAACGAGCTCAGCATGAGCTTTACAGAAGGGGACCTTGGCCTTTGCGAGCCTCTCGAGCTGTGACCACAGGATTCGGATGCGGCCCCAACCGGGCTACATGAGCAATAGCATCATTCAGTCGCAGTGTTCCAATTGTGAGAACAGCACTCCTTCGTGCTTAGCAAGGTTTTGTCGCTTTGTAAGTTGGATCGAAAGAACTTCAGGAAGACGATGGAAGGCTTGCTGTTGGAAGGATTTATGAAGCTCTTTATGGAATGGCGCCGATGCACCTACCGCCGTAGCAGTTGTCAAGCAGCAGGCCTCGAGTACTTCAGACGTTCCGAAATTCTGAACGCAAGTATTGGAAAATCGCACGCATATCACATGAAGGGTCCGTATATCCGCGAAAGATACTCTTGCAGCTTTGCCCGAACAGATAAATTAACCATTGACAACGGCCTTTCGCCATGGATGCATCAGCACCGGATTCCGGGCACTCGCCCATCATCTACGTGCCTTTGCTCGAGCATTGGAAGTCGGCAGGGTTTGCAGGCCTAGGTGTTAGTGACCGTTAGTACTCGTACCTGGAAAGCTGCGACATGCAAAAGGTGGCTCCACTTCTTGCTTTGGGGCTCCTCGTCCTGTACTTGTATCGTGAACTTCTGGATCGGCTAGAGAGGACAACAGGAATGGTTCCAGAATTCACCTAGCGAACGAAATTTCGACCAAACGGGTTTGCTGAATTTGCCTTCCATGAAATCCGAAATGATGTGAGACGTGCAGGACACCAACCAACGACATGCTATATGGGCAGTTTCGCACGAGGTTGCTTTCATCGCAGCCTGTCCAGGCAGATTCAGTGAGGATGGATTGGCACATGCTTGCACGTTTGCCACACTTTGCACCTTCCAGGTTTTCGAACTTCGATTTGACACTTTGACTCCCCAGAACCAGTTCCCCAAGCTCGCAAGAGCATTGTCTAACACACTTCTCCGTGTGTGTGTGTGTGTTTGTGTGTATGTATTTGTGTGTGTGTGTGTGTGTTCTTGTCCGGTCGCTTCCTTTCGGTGCATTCTTTGATGTGCAAGTGGTGGTTCGCACCTGACCAGATGACGATGGCCCGGTACCACCACGGATGCCAACAGTGCTTTCAACTCTGTCTCCAAGCAACCATGCACTACAAGGAGGCGTTTCTTGTGCATTCCCGGCGGCGGGCGATAATGAGATAATGCACGTGCAGCACGTGGAAGGCTTTTCTGCTTGCTTTCCACTACTACACCCTCATGTACGCCTCTTGTCCAAGTTTCTCTGCTGATGCTATGAAGTTACTAGGCCATTGCTAGGCGCCAGTCCTTTGCCAGCTTCAAAGGTCGTGTGCGGATACCTCATCTGCATTGAACTCCAAAGCTCTTACAGGCCAGTGATGCGAGCCATTTCTGTGTTGCGCTGGTCTTCGCGTAATTCACAAGATTGACGAAGGCTCCTGGAACAAACGAGTTGGCTGGATCCGAGCAGCATCTACGAGGCATTCCGCAATGAGGAGAGCTTACCAGACTGGCGTTGGGCTGAGACTTGCACTGCGAAATTTTAAAGTCTCAGAGCGACTTTCTTCTGTGGATTCGCAAGGTGGCACGCTGAGCTACGAGACTTACTGCCTGGAGGGCTCGGGTTGTTGCGTTTTCTATCATTGTCAGCTCCAGTATTTCTCTTACTGACCTATGGAATTTGCATCGCCAGCACTGCTCGTCACGCAACTCTGCCCAAGTTGGCCTCACACTGTTCCCTTTGCATTGGGTGTGACCTCGTGGGGCTAGAAAGTCGAAATCCCCTGACACTTAAGTTTGGGGTCGCTTGTGTCACTTGTGCAGCACCGTGGGAATCAATCGTGAAGGCAAAATGGGAGGGGGAGCACCCCCAACCCCCGGCACCATAGAGAGGGAGAAGGCTGGTTCCAAATTAAGGCTTTAAGGGCCTCCGCCTCCGGCGCCGACCCAAGGGGCCCAGAAACCGTCAGACCCCAACGGGGAGCAGATGTTTTAAGTGGGAAGCCCAGCCCAGATCCAACCAAAACCCCTTATCTGCAGGGGCATCTCAGCATGTCGCTCCAATAGCGAAATGCGGAGTTGACATCTCCCTATTGCGAACAATGAGCAAGCATGTTATAGACATGAACAACAGGTCCGGGAAGCGGGCACCACAGAGACTGTCGGGAGACTTAGTCGCAATTCCGACAAACAACCTGTGGAGTGACGCCAAAGAACTAACGAGCGAACAAAGGGGCATCATTGGCGAGATGAGTGCCATCCCCGATGGAGAAGGAAGTAAGACCCGTCAGCATCATTTGATTGAGATACATATGACCAATGGCATTCCCGTCAACTTTGAAATACGTCGCAGTTCGATTCCAAGCAAACCCGCGAGACGTGTCCATCCAAGTTGGGGAAGCCGCCGAAGACGGCAGGCCGGCCCCGAGCAGCAGAATCTCTCAAAACTGCCTCGGTGATGCCTTGTTGTGAAGCCGATGATTCCACCTGGCGCCGCTGTGCCCGTAGATCGCAAAAAGCCTGACATCTGCCATCCCCCAGATTGCAATCGAGCAGCCAAAGCATGCCGATGACAAGGAGAACCAGGAGCCCACTCAATAGGACGAGCATCCCAGACGGACTGACTACGAACCAAGAAGCCCACGCTAGATTTATGTACCTGATTTACCCTTGGAAGCGGCCCGAGAAACGGCGAAAAGGCTGAAAAATGACCACCCACAAGTTTGAGCAACTCAAGCGACAGGGCGTCTCAGACAATCCTGCTGAAAGCGCCGAACTAGCTGGACCACGAGTTTGGCCCAGGACTTCATCCGCATTCAAATAGGAGAAGGAAAAGAAGTCTTGCCGTGAACCATCTTCATGTAGTGATTGACACCCTGCGATTCTCCTGTCGGCGGGGTGACAGGGAGTTTTCATATTGTCATCAGTTTTGGGAGTGTCGATTGGAACACCTGTGCCAGAAATGCGTTTTGCGCATCATGTCCCGATGACATAAATCGAATCGGTGTGAAGGAGTTGTCCAGGGGCGCATCCATCTTTCGCCATTCCTCGAGCTTGCGCGTTATCAGTTTCTTGCGTGCAAGCACCTTGAACAGGGTTCGCCGCGGAGTGCCACGAAGTCGAAAATGCTGCGTTGTCCCAACCTCTGTTCGAGCACAAGAGAACTGCGGACCCTCAGCGACAGAAGATCTGAACATCCAACCGTTTCGGTTGTTAGAGATACCATGAAGACCCGTGGAGGCATGAATCCCTGTAACGTTCCACCGCCTCAACCGACTGACATGTGGAATGTTATGTTCGCGCGCAAAACCGCGAAGAGAAGAGGTGAGCCGAAAGCATCCGAAAACGAATGGCATACCAGGCTTGAAATGAGGGGATCCCACAAAGCCATGGTCCACATCAGAGCCCAGATCCAACCAAAACCATCGTGCCGCAGTCATGAAGGAAAAGACTTCCTGGAACACCAGGCAATCCTTACCCTGATGCATGCTATGAAAGAGAACGAGTAGGAAAAGCCTTCCGGGAGCAGCCAAGGATGGTGGTGGGGCCGGTGGGGCCCAAAAAGCCCCCCAACCACATGCCCAGGGCTGTAATCGCTCAACTGGCCCATGGGTCCTACCCCGTTGTTTCAAGTTTTTGGAGGTGTAAGGGAGGGGAACCATCCAACACGCCATTCTAGGGTCGGCGGATTCCTTCCTATCAAAGTTTCGCGTAAACGGGTAAAGAAACACACAGATGATGAACACATCTCCCACACGGCATGCTTGCATATGCTTGCACTAGGTGCAAAGAATGTGGGAAAAGGGTGGCGTGCTGCGCGGAAACCCTGGCATGGACAGCAGCATCATGATCGTCGCATTGCCGATGATATCGTGCCTAATGGCATACCGCTCAGTAACTCGAATGTGGATGGTCTGCATCAACAGCAAAGTAGGAAGCCTCGACTACGTTGAAGACTTCGAGGGGAAGAAGACATGGCTCGCACGCCTTGTCGTTTGTCAGAACATGCCGCCTCAATGCGCAGAGCAAACTGTGCCGTTTCGGATGTGAGCTAGTATCTGCTAGTACTGCGAGTAATCTGGCTGCTTCGAGCTCGATCGTCGACCATTCACGTAAGGTACGAGACCAACTTCCTGCTGGCTGATGTGTACGAATCTTGGGCGTTGCTGCACTTCGCTGATTTGGCACTGCAAATCATCTCCGCCTCGCAGAAGCAAATGGCGAAAACCCACCACAGCTTGGACGACATGACGACAAGCCTTGGCAAGAGCCTCCACACCCTCACAAAGCAAGGCTCCGACCTGCTTCATGTGTCAGCACCTGTGAGAACTGAAGCAGAAGTGGTGGGAGGTGCTCTGCCAGTCAGCTCTTCAAATTCTATTCGCTCTGCCCCCTGTTCAGGAATTTATCTTTTCAACGGGACGTGCATGATGCAAGCCACCTATCATTTGGTGACCACATCCGTCGAAGCCTACCTCGGGGGAGCTTTGACTTTGCCCTTCAATGAGATGGTCTACCACAGCCGCGCAAAAGTGCACTTCTTGTTCCTGGGGATGGGCAGCATCGCATCAACAGCCGCCATCAGCAACGTGGTCACTGTTGAGCCTTTCGGCAGTTTGGGCCAGGATAAGCACAGAGTTGAGAGTCTGCAGCCTGGTAAGTTACACATGAGAGGCTTGTGCATCAATCCTGTGCCACATCTTGACATCTGAGTATCTGCTCTGACTGATGCTGCTACAGGTGTCAAAAAAAGGTAGGTCACCAGCAATCCTGTACTTGATGATGTCCGGAGGTACAGGTCCTGCCTCCATACCAGACTCCAGGAATGGTCTGCGGTTTTTGTTGTTTGGTTCGCTGTTTGTTGCGTGTCCTGCCTCCCGCCAAATTCCAGGAATAGCTTTTGCTTCGAAGAGAACCCTCTCTCAGAATCTGGCCACAGTGGTGGAATAGTGAAGGAATCAGCCACCAGCATTTTCTGTGCTGTGTTTCTGCCACTGTGCCCGAGAACATGAACGTCAAGCCCATGCCAAGACTAGTGGATGACCGTGTCATGACAAATGGTGCCATGCCTTTAAACCAGGGAAGGTACCTGCTTTAGTCTTCACACAATCGATATCGTAAACCTGCTCGCTGCACAGGGTGTGCACATCTTGGGCATTAGACCGTGACACGAAGTAGAATCGAGCAAAATCCGCCTGGGATCTTGGGATACGCCCCGCTTTCAAGGCTGGTGTTTGTGCTTTTGGTCGTTGTTCAGTGTGGTTCCTTTGCTCTTTAAGCAGGGAAGCTGTGAAGACCATAATGGCTCGGTTCGGGTTGTTCTGATCCTGGTCCCGTGGACACAGACTCAAAACCACCCGAAGATTGATGTATGTGCGTGTTGTCGTAGCCGATATCCTGAGGCTGACATTTGCCGAGTCTCTGAAGTGCTTTGAGCCACATTTAAAGTTTTGGTCTGCGAAGATTTTGCTGACCCTTGGGTTTATGTGCCGTGGCTCAAATAGCACTGCGACCGATATAAGACAAGAAGCCCTTTCATGGTTGAGCCACGCTGCTAATGCCACGTGTTTGCACAGTTTCTATCATTTCCCTGCTGCCGCTGAACGTGAGGCAATCACTACTACTGGAGATTCCTCCGCTGTCTTACCTGTCCACCACGGAGAAGGCTCCTGCCCCACTGTGTTTAGAAAGATGTTCCAGAAAGTGAGAGGGTACGGGGAAAGGACACCTTAAAGAGATCTTGGCACCCGCATTCCCTGAAACAGGACCTTTTCTATGCGTCCATCCTTTGTGCAGAATGCTTTGGTGTAAGTCTCCTCCATTGGCGTGCTTGGAATCCTTCAGAGCCATGGCTGGACTTCTTGAAAGAGCTACTTGGACGACCTAGGAATGCATGGGGAGTCTATGATCCGGTTCCTCCTCCTCTGCCATTTTTCGCTTGCTAAGATCAGGTCTGTCACGAAGAGTGGAGCGTGAACTCTGTTGCACGGCCATTCGCCGACCTGACTTTGCGACATAGTCTTGATGGAGAAATTGCGCCACTGCACGGACATGCACGGGCTACATTTCCAGCACAGCACTCCGCATCCTTGAATGTCGGCCCGCATCAAGGTCAATCGACGGCTTTGCCATGGTGCGCGACGCTGGCCTCCAACGGGACTGCTCGCTGAAGTTTATGCTACAGCTGCTACAGTAGAAAGTAGCTTGGCATACCGCTCTCAAGGCATCACAGTGCTGAAGCAGGAACCCATATGGACAATGTTCGGCTCAAGACAGATACCCCTTCCTGTGCTTGTCTGTTTTGAACCGGAGAAGCTGCCAAAGCCTTGGAACACTGTGTCGGCACCAGAACAGCAACGCAACTCAAAATTGCCGCCGCGAGTGTCGCAAGGACACTTGACGATCCAGATCCCATTGATTGTAAATGCATATGTGTATATATATGTATATATATATATGGACACACCCCCCCCCCCATGACCTACCCAGATCTGTTTCCCTCGTAAATACCGTTAAAAACCCGCTCGGGCCCTATGCCATTTTTTGCTACTCTCAGTGGCTGTCTCTCGACAAAACAGACCCCACACGGCCCACAAGACTGGACGCCGAGACGCGCGAGACCAAAAAACCAAAAAAACCATCTTTTTTAGAGAATGGGGAGGGGATGTTGAAAAAGATTGTTTTTTTGGTTTTGCCTCGTACAAAGATGGTTTTTCATGGAAAAACAAACTTTTCCCACGTAAAAAGATGGTTTTGGTCTGGACTGCCTCAGGAAAACCATCTTTTTGCGAGGTAAAAGTTGGTTTTTGGCTCCAAAACCATTTTACGTCTTTTTTAGAGAATGGGGAGGGGATGTTGAAAAAGATGGTGTTTTTGGTTTTGCCTCGTAAAAAGATGGTTTTTCATAGGAAAACCAACTTTTCCCACGTAAAAAGATGGTTTTGGTCTGGGCTGCCTCAGGAAAACCATCTTTTTACGAGGGAAAAGTTCGTTTTTGAGGCAGTCCAGACCAAAACCATCTTTTTACGTGCGAAAAGTTGGTTTTTCTATGAAAAACCATCTATTTACGAGGCAAAACCAAAAAAAACATCTTTTCAACATCCCCTCCCCATTCTCTAAAAAAGATGGGTTTTTTGGTTTTTTGGGTTTTGCCTCGTAAAAGATGGTTTTGGAGCCAAAAACCAACTTTTACCTCGCAAAAAGATGGTTTTGGCGTGGTGTTCTTAAGGAAACCATCTTTTTGCGAGGGAAAAATTGGTTTTCCTATGAAAAACCATCTTTTTACGAGGTAAAACAAAAAAAACATCTTTTTCAAAATCCCCTCCCCATTCTCTAAAAAAGATGGTTTTTTTGGTTTTTTGGTTTTGCCTCGTACCTCTCTCGGGCCAGAACCGTTCAGCTCTACATGTAGCTATGGTTGGAGGCTCGTTGGCTTTTTTTCAGTCTTATATTAATCTCAGCAATAGCATTCCTATTCCTATTAATGTAAAAGGGTTCCTAACCATCTTTATAGGACTTTCTTTTCATTTTACGTATATTCTTATGAACTTTCAGAGGGTTCTTATTCAACATCAGAGGATTCCTAATACTTTTCAATAGGGTTCTTATGCATTTCAACAAGGTTCTTAATCATTTTCAAGTGGCTATTAAAATTCCAACAGGGTTCCTCTGAAATTAGAAATCTTTTTAAGATTCATATTGGTGCCTATTCATGTTAGTGAGTCTCCAAGTAATTTTAATGGTATTCTTAGAAAATTGAATGGCATTCCTCGCCCTATTAATTCTAATTGACCATCTTAATGGGACTCCTCTACCATTTCAGAATATTCTTATGAATTTTCATAGGGTTCTTATTCAATGTAGAAGGATTCCTAATACGTTTTTGTAAACAGGGTTCTTATGAATTTCAACAAGGTTCTCAATCATTTTAAAGTGGCTTCTTTTAGTTTCAATAGGGGTCCATCTGAAAATGAAAAGGGCTCGTACTTCTTTTTAGGATTCCTATTGGTTCCTATCCATGTTTGTGACTTGCAAAGTACTTGGAATGGTTTTTTCTGGAGATTTGAATAGCATTCCTGTCCCATTACTTCTAATAGGAATCACATGAATTCTAACAGAAGCCTAGAAATCCGAACCACATTTATTTTTATAGGATTCCTATTGGTTCCTATTAATTTAGTAGGATTTCTCTTCATTTTCAAAGGATTCCAATAGGGTTTGCTTATAAATTCCAATTGATGGTAGGACCCTCTTCATTTAAAAGATTCCTCTTAATTTGTAAAAGGGTTCTTATGAATTTTAGTGGGGTTCCTCATAAATTGGATAGGATTCTAATTCATCATAACGAGATTAAGAGAAATATTAATAGGATTCCTATTTAGATTTAATGGAATTCCGACATTCCCGTAAATTCAAAAAGGGTCCCTTTTCATTTTCACAGGCTCCCTACTATTCTTCATGGGGGCCCTATTGTTTTTCTACATTTTAATAGCATTCCCATGACGTTTGATAGGGAGTTCCTCTGACTCGAATATGATTCCAAGTCATTATTCCTATTGATTCAATAAAGAGTCTTATTAATCTTAATAGGGTTCGTATGAATTTCATAGGGTTTTCGTTCAATCAAGAGGGTTCTTATTGAATTCATAGCTATGACTAAGTATGGATTTCTTACTCCGACACGGCCTCACGGTAGGTCATGGGGGGGCGTGTGAGCATATATATATATATATATATCCTTTACTTGTTTGTCAATTTATTCCCCACCCTCGGTGTGGGGTTGTTAGATTTTAAACTCAACTCTTCTCCTCGCCCGGTCTACTCCGTGTCCCTGAGTGCCCAACCCCAAAGTGTTCCTGGAGTGCCAAACCCAGAACCCCAGAGTCTCCCTAGAGTGCCCAACCCCAAAGTCTCCCTAGAGTGCCCAGTGCCCAACCGCAGAGTTTCCCTGGAGTGCCCAACCCCGAGTGTCTCCCTGGAGTCCCCAGTGCCCAGCCCCAGCGTATCCCTGGAGTGCCCATACCAAGAGAGTGTGGGGATGTTCGAAGTAAAATATTTCATTCATTTCAATTTGGTCATGTCTATATGCACACACATACATTGCTGTACACATGCAAACACAGTGAATTCCAAATGAAACTTCCCAGGTGTGGCGATGGGGCAAGGCTGGGCCAAAGACTTCTGCTGCACTACAAGGAGGCTCAGACCAGGGCTGAGACCCTCGGCTAAAGTGAACCGAGTAAAAGAGCTCAGCTGAGGCTCACTTGCGTACCTTGACCTAAATAATTTGAGGCTCGCTGGACACTTCTTCAGATCAGTCTCAAGCTCTACAAGAAGGCCCAGCTCAATTGCAGCATGCTGCGTCTCGCCATCCATGCGACCCGCTTCGGTGGGGGCGCATGAGAAAAGGTATATAGACACACATGCGAATATATATATATATATATATATTAGACAGTTTTTGTATATAAGCGAAAATAGATATGATAGGGTCATCTTCTGCAGGGGTCTGACCAGTCAGGTTGGCCAGAGTCGTTGTCTCGAAAAGGCAGCAAAATGAATCAACTGTGAGCTTACACAGGGGGGGAGAGGCTTTCAGCTGGAACAGGCTAACGAATAGCCAACGCACGCATCTTCCAGGCATCGCCACAATGGATGAGTCTCCGCCAGAAATCACGCCAAGAATCATTGGCAGGCTCAAAACCAAAGTCTTCTAAGCAAGCCCTTAGCCTTGTGTGAGATCCGAAACACCCGCAAGGACCTACATTCATGGATGTGCCAGGTGCCAGGTTCTCGAAAACAGATCTAAATACAACTTGGCCTCTCCGGGAGAGTCAGAGCCAGGGTCCCATGCAAGAGAGAATTGGGAAAGACGGGCCCTTGGTAAGGTTTCTTGTGTTTTCCTCCCTGGCAGTGCTACTTGCTACTTGGAAGCAAAACTTTCGATCCTGTTGCGAGCGAAAAGAACGCACCAGACATGGCGCGCCTTCGCGCAAGGGGGTTCTGGGGCGACGTTCGAATGCACAGGAGGAGAACGACTAAACTGTATCGCATGTGGACAAACAGCAAACTGAGGAAACAGAACTCCACCTCATTGGTTAGCATAGTTCTAGAGAGGGGCTCGCATTTTAAGTAAGTACAGAAGAAGATAAGGAAGCGACACGAAGCACAAACATGCAAGCAAGGGTTCCAGTTTGCTTGTGCACTGTCACATTTCGTAGTTCCTGAGATGTTCTAGCATCGCTGCTGGATTGCACAGACCGGCCTCTTATAGATTCGAGCCCGACCACGCCCACGCCACCAGCGTGCGCAGAAGTTTCTCCAGGCATCGTGCCAAAATGTGCTAAATCAGTGTTCTAGCTTTAAGACGGGGCGGGGGTGGGGCGGCAGTTTCCCAACTTGTTGTTCGCTCTGAGGTAGCGTTATAAACTTGGATTGCGGCGAAGCCGCCAAGTCCAAGGAGCAGTCCAAGGGCGACGACGGCATCTCAACTTCATGGCAACCCATGGCAACCTTCTTTCTTTTGTGGGAAAGCGCTAAGTCTGGTACAGTGAGGGTTTGGCTTTCTTTTGTGGGAAAGCGCTAAGTCTGCTACAGTGAGGGTTTGCAAGAATGCTGCAAGCACTTGAGGCGGTGGGTGCAGCCCTCCGGAGGCCCGCTGTGAAGCAGCGAATTCCCATGTCCAACTTGGGTTTTGCTCTTGGTAAAGTGAGCTATCTGAGCTCGTAGAGCTTTGGAGTGGAGAGAGTTGCTGAATATTGCTGAGGCGCTTTCGGTGCCCAAAAATGCAGACACCGGGAGTGACTCTGGTGGGCCCACCTCATCGCCGCAGGCCATCCCACACGCTTGACACAAAGTATGTTTGGCGTGGCTCCGCAGTGAGGTCGCCTTTTCGGCTCCTGCAGATGCAGTGGCCAGGCAGCGGCACATTCGAGCCCAATTCTGTGCTTTCTTGACGACTGCGCCCGAACATGCGCGCGGATGCGCAGGGAGAGGGTCTAGGCCCTGATCCCTTATCTGGGGAAGGGGAAGAAGAACACAGAGTCACTTAAAGCGCGAGAGGTGGAAGCGGGCCCGCGGGGGGTCAGGCAAGGGTGAAGAGGCGGGGGGGGGGGGGGAAGAGGTGTGGTGGTGAAAAGGCTCTTGACTTCGCAAGCGTTTCGGTGAAAAGGGCTTGTCGGGTTTGCGGGGACAAGGGTTTGGTAGGGTAACGGGACGCGGTTCGCGCAGTGAAGGGGGCTGGGCAAGGGTTTTTGGGCCTACAAAAGACTCCGCCCAAATGCGCTCTGAAAATTTGATCGAAGCGAAAGGGCATGTCGCACGCATGCTTCACTGTGATTTGGTCTGCTGTCATGGTGTTGCAGTTCACACGTTGGAACCTTGAACTGACAACACCATCCGTCCGATTGCCTGCATGCCTGCCTCACTTGTCTTGCCAACGTAGATACTTGTCTAAAATTGGAGTTCGCTGGTTACAGCTTCTGCAAGCATTGGAAGCCCGGGAAGCAGTTCTCTGGGCGATGCTGGGTCCTGCCGGTGCAGACCTGAAACAGTGAGCCCTCCTGTTCAGAAAAACGCACAACATGGGGAGAGCACAAATGATGTGCCTTGGTTAATGCTGTAGTTTGGCACTGCGTGCATTCGTCCGGTGCTCGAGGATGCTAGGCCTTAAGAACACGAAGCTTTAACGCCAGTGCCAAGCAATGGTGGCTCCATGTGCCCGGCCCAGATCGACCATCGGCTGGCAAACGAAGTACACGAGCTAGGTCTACAGACTTTATTGTACGAGCGGAACAAAAACTAGACTTCTTTGTATTTTGTGTCGCTTGCCAGTCCTTTTGCTGTCGAACAAAGCTCAGTGGCGACCACATTTGTTGTTGTGGTCTTTCGTGTTTCGACATGATGAGTTTGCTCCCCACCCTCGGTGTGGGGTTGTTAGACTTTAAACTCAACTCTTCTCCTCGCCCGGAACTCTTCTCCTCGCCCGGTCTGCTCCTCGCTCATGCCTGGCGGAGGCCGGTGCCGAGAAATTATTCAAAAGGAAAACCTCCATCTTCAACCGAGCTTGACAATGGCTGAAGCGGCAGTTTTGACTCGGGTGGCCTGAAGAAGTAGCCCAGAGCTGAAGTGCAGGACTTTACCTGCGGAGGCAGAGGCCAGCACCACCCCCATCAGCTGCAGCACAGGCAACATAAGCAACGCAAGCAACCTTGCAGAGATACCAGTGCAAAGAATCTCGCAGGTCGAATCGGAGCTGTTGGAGGCAGCCTCGACTGCCAGGATCAGGTCCGATGCGGAATGCCCGGAAGGGGAGCAGGCCGATGAGAGAGAGCGACGAGAGAGCTCGGTCAAGGACGCTGCAGCCCTTCACCAGTAGAACTTCCAGGCTACGCAACCAAAGGGAAAAGGCAAAGGAAAGTCCAAGATGCCGCCGCCTCCAAAGGCTGCTCTAAGCACGTTGTCACTGTGTCCGGAGTTTTTGGCATCTCTCAGGGACTCTTGCAAACTTCGGAGGTTTCTAGCCGATCTCAAACTCAATGTGATGAGGCTTCGGCTGCTCCGAAGGCAAAGGCAGCACTGCCAAAGCCTCCTAGCGGTGCTAGCGGTGGAGGGGTTGGCATGAGCGCGCTCTTCAACAAGATCGAAGCAGTTGGAAAGAAGACACCTGCCTTTGTCTGCTTTATGTGTGCGGCAGCTTCAGGGTAGCTTGCAACTCTAGCTCTGGCCACCCGCTCTGCGGGTTTTGCAAGTGGATCAGGAAAGACTTAGAAGAGGCCAAGGCTCGCTCACTGGCAAGATGCACTGCATGCAGACGATCCTGCTGACTGATAGACTTTGGCCACCCAACTGCCTTCGCAGGAGATAGAGGACATAGACATGTCCCAGATCGATCCGTCAGCAGCCGGGGAGAAGGTGGTTTGCCCTCGCTGCAAGAAGGACGTGCTCAAAGATCATTTTGATTCGCACATGACCGCCCATTCCAGTGACACTTGAATGAACTAACTAACTGCCCGAACTAAGATGAGTTCATCTGTGCTTGGACCGCGGTTCATTGTGACTAAGGAGATTCTTCCATGGCTTTTCCTGGGCGGTGACATGGCTAGAGCGGGTGCTTAATTCGAGCGTGAGTGAGGCGAAGTTCTCATGGCAGTCGTCGTTCAATCTCCTTCTATTTGTCTGGTCAGTGTGCACTGATCACAAAGGCAAGCGGAATCTCGAGAACGACCAAGAGATTACAGTTCGAACCAACATTACTCACGTCCTCAACCTGGCTCAGGAGGTCAACTTAAAGGCTGACATAAAGGAGATAGCTACAGAATACAATCGTGAGCGAGATCTTCCTTTCGTGTACAAGAAGCTGAATTTCGGCGACACCCCGGATCAAGATATCCTGTCCGAGCTGGAGAGCGCAATAGAGTTTATCCATGAAGCCCACTCTTCAAACGAGCGGCACAACGTGCTTGTCAACTGCGTACAGGGCATCTCCCGATCTGCTTCGGTGGTGCTTGCTTATCTCATGAAGTACGAACGCATGAGCCTTCGGGCAGCGTACGACCATGTTCGCGAAAGACGAGCAGTTGCAGATCCCCGCAAGGCACCATCAAGTCACATCGATAAAGCCACAAGGCCATAAGGCCGTAAGGCCATGAACAGTGTTTGCTTGGCAAAATTGTTTGTATTTGCTTGTTGGCTCAACAGCAAAGACAGAGATGAGTCAAATGAGTGAGGAGTTTCTGGATCAACTTGCGGTCTTCGAGTGCAAACTCTTCGACGTGGACAAGCCTACGTTGACTGGGGCCATCGTCTTCGAAGGTCGAAACTTGCTTAATGTGGACGATGCGCACCTCAGCCGCAGTGCTTTGCGTTTGTTTTGCCAGGAGGAGTGGGTGCCGTGCGGTTGAATGCATGATTTCGCTTGCTGGACAGACATGGACAAGCTAAGTACATGCAAGTCGTCCTCGTCCTCGTTGTGGTTGTGGTTGTTGTGGTTGTTGTTGTTGTCGTTGTTGTTGCGGGTAATGCTTCTGTTAAGCTTGCAGGCCTAGGCACTGTCACTGGGGCAATGTGAAATGGAGTCGTGTTCTTTTGAGGAAAACACACCTTTTGTTAATTGAGCTTGTGGAAGGCGACAAAAGGGAAAAACCGTTTGTTCATGCCGGCGGCTTCTCATACAGAAAAACACATGATGCTCCCGGTTTAGGGTTTAGGGTTTAGGGTTTAGGGTGTGGTTTCTGTACTCAGTACGCCAATCTCCCTACACGAAACGCGGTCAACATCACCTCTTGCGTATTGTAGTAGAGGGTGTAGTTGTTGCAGCAACACACCGAGGATCGATAGGGGACGCGCTAGAATGATAGGATTATTTAATGCGATACGATAAAATGCGGTAGGTGAAAAGCACGGAAAACAACAGGGGACGAGCTAATGCAAAAACTATTTTACTTCGAACATCCTTCTGGGGTTGTGCACTCCAGGGACACTCTGGGGCTGGGCACTCCGGGGACACTCTGGGGTTGGGCACGAGACTCTGGGGTTGGGCACCAGGCAGACTTTGGGGTTGGGCACTCCAGGGAGACTCTGGGGTTGAACACACCAAAGAGATTCTGGGTTCGGCACTCTAGCGAGACTCTGGGGTTGGGCACTCCAGGAAGACTCTGGGGTTGGGCACTCCAGGGATGACCAAGGAGTAGACCGAGCGATGAGAAGAGTTCCGGGCGAGGAGCAGAGTCGAGTTTAAACTCTAACAACCCCCCACCGAGGGTGGGGAACAAGCAAGGCTTAAACAAGTGATTTTGACGCCTTGGTTGGGCAGTCTGGGATTGCTGTCGTCGCTCGTTTCTCGTTGTGTTGGTTTGAAATTAATTGTTGTTGTCTGTTGCCGGGGGGGTTAAAGTGCAAGTTTTGGAAATCTACTTGTTAGTCGCGACCTAACGAGGCAATGACCTATTGTACCTGGTACCTGCTGTTGCTGTCACATGGCTGTGCGACAATGTTTTGACGAGTGTGCTCAGCCTTTCACGACTATGGTTCAGCATTGAGCGCAACTTGGGCCGGGCTAAGAAGAGATGCACACCAGCACAAAAAGCAGCCCCAACCCGCAAAATACTTCGGCCATGCACCGTCGTTCACGCCGGCTCACCTGAGTCTATCGCACAAAGGACACCATTGTCGCAACCATGTCGCGAACCACCCAGCACCAGCCCGAGCCCCAGAATCAGTTGAATGGCCTTGATGCCAACAAAGAGACAAATCAGAATTCTGAGCCATGACCAGGTGCACCAGCGAAGGAGCAAATCGTGACCGCGGATCCGCAGGTCCAGTTCAGTTGTGATGTCCACGGATTCACGCTGTTTCCTCCCTGCTCTCCATGCAACTGAGGCAGAAAGTACTTTCATCGAAGATATCTCAAATAAGCCTGCAAGGGCTGCGGCTACGTCGTACGAATCTGTATCAGCCTTTCGCCAAAGTTTTCGCTGAATCCTGAATGTGCCTCCTTTTCCAGCTTGTGCGGCTTTGGGTCCCTGCAGTTTTCAAGGATTGGTACACGGACGAGAACCCAGCAGACAGCCCAACCAAGACAACTTCTGAGTGGTACTTGGATGGCAAGCCGCGGCCAAGCACACGCACGTCACAGACGGAAGTCCATGTGATGGATGAGGCGACAGTGCAGCCGCAGAGCTAGCATTGCACGTGCAGCCACCATTGCGAAGCCGGGCAGGGTGCAAGAGCCCCCTGACACGGCGTTAATGCCTTGAAGGAGCCTTGCCTTCTTCATGCTGGGGCACCATGTGTCGGTTCAGCATCGGTTCGTTGAGCTTTGGCTCAAGCCAAGCGCGATGGACCAGTACCAGTAGAGGCGAAACAACCGTTCCAGGTGTTTTCCATGCAAAGGTGCTGTTCCAACCCAGTCGTAACTGCATGTCGGCCGCCGATGAATCCGACGACGAAGTTCACCACTGCTTGACCAGAGATGTTCATGCTTACTCCTTCGGGCTTGGAGCAGTGTCGTTCTTTTGTGCAGGGCGAATTCGAGCATGATTTCAGGATGTTGCTGCCTGCACGATTCCAGCTTGGGGATGAAACAGTGGTTTCTTGTATCTTCAAGTGGGTTGTGGGTGTCGGTGGCACAAAGAGCCTGAAATCCTTGCTTGCGTAGCCAGCCAACGTCATCATGACAAAGAAAACAGCGTGCTTCGAGAAAAGGCGGCCAGCTCGATCGCAAGCTTCGATTTTCAGATGGCGCTGAGAAATTGGCCTGAGATCATCTCTCGGCAGATGCCAAAGCGCTCTCCGAATTTCCAGGACTACAGCGCATCCGATCTGTCGGAGGTGGGCTTAATTGAGCAGCTGGGTGAGCAGTTGCAACTGGATCATACTGGGAAGCGGGGCTAGCGTGACCTTGGGGAATTACTCCTGGGGGCAATCTTCTATTTTGTAGAGGTTCTATATGGTTCTGTGTCGCCGTGTTCCCTGAACCCTAAAACCCTGCCTGTTCGAGAGTGAGCGACTGAAACCATAGGCCCCAAACCGATCAAAACCCAACAACCTTAAACTAAACAAACCCTTAAAGCCTTCTAAAACCCTACTCAAGACCTACAAAACCTTGACAATCCTGAACCCTTACACCCCCACCAACCACAGGAGGGGGGGGGGGGGGGGGACTGGGCGTCACGGCACCATATATACAATAACTCGCCACAAGTGGCATATTTTGCTCATGTTGGAAAGGTATGTATCTTATGGGCCAACTTATGGGCCTTGGTAGCACGCCATGAGTTTGTTGGGGTTACGGCGACATGATGTCACCCAAAAAAAATTGAAGATTTAGAGTCGCCTCTCTAGCTGAGTTTCCTTACAGGTCTACAGTAGGTCTACTTGCTTGACGTGCGGCAGTTGGGAACGGTGGAGGGTAGGGCCAGCTCATGCCAACTCTTAACCTAGACCTGAACACCGGTTGCGTGGATCGGGGGCACTCGGGCACGTAGGGCATCCAAGATCAATGCGCGTTACGCGGGTTTCCGTCGTGTCGCGCTTGGCTTCGAAGATGATCGCTTGGTGCATGTGTCTGTCTCCAGGCCTGGCGTTTCGGATTCCTGGACTACAGTGCGGCCTTGTAGATTTCCACGTATTTCGTGCTTGGCTTCGCGAGTTGCACGTCCGTTTCTGCAGCGCGCTTCGGTGCACGCCGCGATTGTAGGGATACTGTGGTTCATTCCACGCTCCGGGGAACGCAGCGTGACATTGCGGAGTCGACTTTGCGGGTGGCTCGACTTTACCGCCCCCCGCCGAGGGAGATGAGCAAAGGTTGCTAAATGACAATCTATACGAATCTATACAGCTGCAAGGTCTCCATTCCAGATGCCTTTGCCGTGGTGAGAGGCACCATCCTTGGTGTTTGCATCAGAAACGAGGGCGGTGTCAGCATGACCTTGGCGAGGGCTTGACACCGGTTCTTGCTTCAGCTGAGCCTTGTCGGCCAGCACATGCTAAAGATGACACGACTTGTGCCTTGTTTTTGGCCCTTAGGGTCAGTTGCGGTGGCCAGCGCATGCCTGCCAGTTGTTACGACGAGTTCCAGAGTCCTGAAGAGAATGAATGAAATGCAGCAGAAAGGATTTTTAGAGACCTCCAGCCATGGCACCGCAGCTGAGCGAACTGCCAGACTCCGTGGTGCACTTGCTGGTGAGACACGTCTGGCAAGTAAGTAGGCACGGCCCACGCATGCACCTGTACATCGTCGTTGTCCTTCGGATACCACGGCCGAGCTCAAGGATCTGTTTGGTGGATGCTGCGTACGACTGCCCCATGCCTGGCAATGAAAGAGTGCATCCAGTTTGCTCAGCCTGGTATCGGTGCTGAGTTGTCCTGCTCATTAAGGCGAGGCGGCGTCCAAGCACTTCCGTGCACATTTTCATGGACATGCCGCAGCCGAAGATGCTTGGACAAAAAGATCCTGCTGGTTCAACTGTTTTGATAATGTCTCGAGTGATATTAAATCTGATCAGCCAAGGAGTTTACAGCAAGCGCGATTCGGAGCATTGCTCGAGAGATGGCAGCTTAGCTTCATGTTTGCCACAAAGCGTTCGTCAAGCATATCTTGTGCAAGAACTGGTCTTGTGGAGACGCCAATTCAGTTGCTTCCAATCTTCCACCCTTGCCGATCAAGACAGCATCTTGCCCCAAGTGCTCAGGCACACGATGGAAGCTTGCAATTCCTTCACGCCGCGACTTGCCTTCAGCACCAGCAGAAATGGCTGCACACACTTTGCACACCTTGAGAGAAAGAAGGTTCAAACAGGAAGGCTTACCCAATTGTACCCTGTCAATGCTTAGGCTTTTACTTCTGAGAACGGTGCGCTGAAAACGGGCTTCCCGATTCGTCCGCTTGGTCCGAAGCATTGCACTCCGCACTTCGCACCGGCTCCACGTGCCAAGAGATGCTCAGGCCATGACTCTGAGGGTGCTCGGCTCAACACCTGTCTCCACACACCGCAGGTGAGAGCGATCCATGTACAGAGACAGTGCAGTGGATGACGATGCTGACCGAAAGCGTTTTGGTTGCTCGGGCGCAACTGGGTCACTGGAAAGTCGAAGAATCTGTACTATGGCTTGACAGCAGGCTGTTGCATGCTTCAGGTCAGGGTTATGGAACATCTCGGTCGCAACTTGGGAGATACAGAAAGATGGCCCACAGTTGAGTTGTGACGGGTATGATCTGTAGTTCATGCCGTGGACTCGAAGTTGGGCACAGACTTTGACGCCCACCAAGGCTCCGGCAGCATCCGCGCCATGTACGCCAACCATAGCCTCTATGCTGCTGGCAGGGCGGTCAAGAGCTTTTGGCTTCAAGTCGTTCTCGTGGAGGCAAGCTGGCTGTGGCTCCAGCATTTGAGTCACACATCATGTGCATTGAGCTGCCACCGCACCCCAAATGAATTTGCAAAAGAAAAGTTCGCTCCAACCTAATGATCACGGGCTAATTTATCAAGGAGGGTGTGGCTGGTGAGCCTCGTTCATCCTTGACGGCACGATTTGCAGCACGACTCGCGGACTTCACAGCGACGCAAGCTGATCGGGTGACTGGCCTGGCCTTGCGCTTCTCGGCTGAAAAACTGTCGTTTTCTGCTGGCATTTGCTTGTCTACTGCCAAAGCTAAGATCAGGCAACACTGCTGTCGCTGCATGCTTAAAGCAAGCCGGTGACATCCTTCTACGCTCTGCTGACTTGCAGAGGCGCAGTCGTTCGTAATAGTCGCCCCATGTCGCCCCGCTTGCTTTGCCGCACTATGTTGTGATTTCGGTGGGCGCTGCTCCACAGGTGCCTACTGCAGAGATCCTTTGGCGTTCTCCAGCGATTGATCCTGCACTCCTTTGCTTTGCAGGAATGGGCATCCACGTCAAATCCTGCCTGCTTTAAGCTGGTTTTTGCAGGAGGTCTGCGCCATCGCCAGTCACGGCAGGCTGGATGCTGAACAAGGAAGGAATGACCTCAAGACTTCAGTAATGCGGTGCAGATCAGAGCAGATGGCTAAGCTGGACAGAGGGAAGGACACTCTGCACACGTTGTGGACCTAGATAGGCTCTTTTCCACCCTGCATCGATTGGACTTGATCCAGTGCACCTTATCCAGCGACATCTTCCACGACGCTCGGAAGCAAGAAGCCCCCGCATGTGTCCTTGCCTTCGAGATTGGGCAGACGATGACTCGAGAATACAAGTGAAAAGTCGTCAGAGGAAACAAGACGAAGCAGCATCCAACTCGCCATGCTGCGCTTTGCATAGCTTCGATAGCATTCCGAAGACATCCGCACTTGACGAGGAACTCGAGGCTTTCCCAGCATTGAATGGTCTGGGCATTTGGGGGCTGAGCCTTGGGTGCACGGTAAAACAAGCCTGTTTTCGGCTGTTTACTCGAGCTGCTGTGAAGCGAATGACGATGAACGACTGGCCATGCCTGAGAAAAAGAGATAGGAGTTCGACCCGCACGGCCCAACGCGCCAACCCGAAATCAGGAAGAACACGCAAATGGTGCTGCCTGCTTCCTGGCCATCTGGATTGCACAAGATCGAGGAGCTCTGCCTGGATCCGGTCGAGGCGGCTGGGCCTTGGCCTTCCTTACAAGGCGCATCGAAATTTTGATGCCATTGGGTACAGCTGCGGGCGCGGCTCAAACACACATGTCAGCATACATTGCATACATCTTTGCTCCAGGCGAGGGGAGCCAGCCTTTGCGCATGCTGCGCATGCACTTGCGGACAACGAGGCCGCGGTTGGCAATTGAGGCTCTCCCAGCAAGTCTCCAAGCTACTCGGATGACGGAGTACGAGTTTGCGACTGTCCGGTGGTGCCATGCACCCATCCATCCGGCTGAATAAGGTACTGTCATTGACAACTTCGGCCAAGGACACCGGTCCACCACTCATGTGTGCCAGTCTCGACAATCAGAACCCGCACTGCTTGCGCAACTAGCTTTGTATTCCTGAGGACATCAGCAACCCGTTCGTCGAGGCTTTCATCCTGTTGGATGCGCAGCTTGACTGCTGCTTGCTGCACAGACTGCACCCTTGTGCACAGTGCGGAGGCAAGCTCTCACAGCACCCTGCGCAACCCACCAATTATCCCACATAGGCATGCATGTGCTCCTGATTGGGCTGATTAGTTAGATCCAATCGGCGTGTTTGTCTTTGTCTTCCCTGGCATACATACGGACAGCCCAAGGAGGTCGCACAGGGTCGCACCTCAACCAAGGCACGTGGATTTGATTCTTACAACCCTGCGCTTTCTGCATGATTTGGTCCTCAGCGGTCACGTCAAACTCGGATCTGCCAGCTACTTTCCTCTTTAGCTCGGCTTCTTTTTCCGGTGCACTCGGTGTAAAGGAGAAATGACATGAGCATTGCCATGCCAAGGTATGGCAGGATTTGCCAAATACCAGGGACTGCTGCGACTCAGCTTGGCCGGTTCTGATGGCCTGGATTCACCAGAAAGCTTCCACATTTTCTCATCCCATGCTTGGGATGGTCTCGAAGCATGGCCTCCAAAGTCTAACTGTCTTTGTCTTTGCTCTCTCAGCTAAAGCTCATCAGCAAGTAAATGCAAGGGCCGGCTGGAGCGTTTGCCATCAATTTTCCGAGCACATGAACAGGGAGTGATGCAGACTGCGCCTGCACAGACGTCGAATCCAAGGAGTGCTTTGAAGCTCCAGGCAGCCAGCATTTCAAGGCCGAAACTGTGAAATCCATTCTTCCTAGCGGCTGCAGCTGCATAATACCTGCACCATTCAACACAGAGACTTGGTGTGCAAAAGGGTGAAATCCAAAAGCCCAAAAACGTTCAAAGACTTTCCACTCGTCTTCATCATTCTTCATCCAAGGACCCATTGGAGACGTCGGCGTTACAGTCTTTAGTACCTCGGCCTGGACATTTTCTGACAACACGGAGCCCCAACGAGTCCATGGAGAGTGCTGTCAAGGCTCGCCCCAGTTCCTGGAAGTGTCTTCAAAGACAGGGCCTCCCCTGAAAAGAAGATTCAGCTGTCTCCGTAAGAAACACTGCAGTGCCAGGGCGTTGTTGGGGACTTCCATGGGCCTTGGGGAGCTCTTTTGACGGGCCGACGGTTGACCCGAAACAATCCCGGAACAACTCAAAAAGACCCGTACAGCATGTTGCCCGAATGCGAGCATCCTTTCTCAAGGCAACAGTTGGTGCTGAAACACATTGCTGTACTTGCTCACTTGTTCGGACTTGGTAGGTGTAGATGTTGACTCTGAGATAGTGTGAAGCTATTCTCGTGGACTGTCAGCCAGACAATCACCGACACAGTCTTTCCATTCGTTGGTAGATGTTGATCCCATACACTTTACAAACATACAAATCGGACCGAGCAGCCAGCTTTTTCCGCCAGACGCCCATTATCCACGATAAAAACCCTCTCCGGTTGATTTGAATCTTGGAACATCCACCCTCCCACTCTCCCACTCCACACCAACAAAATCCAACAACGACATCTTATGGTTGGCCGCTTGGCCATTGGGAAGTGAAGAAGACCTCTTTCCTGCAGATCGGGTTGGGTTTGAGTACGCCATCACAAGCCATCCGAACTCACTGCAGCGCCATTCCTTTCCGGGTCCGGCAGTTTTTGAGGAGTTGGTGCAGAAGCTTGCGCCGCCATTTCGGAACAAGCGCTGGCTCCTAGGGAAAGCAGTGCCAATGTAGTACGAATCCCGTGCAGCCATGGCAGCTCAGCTGAAAGTTAACGCTAGGGATGTCGAACCACTGCTGCTGAGCGCCTCGGCGGAAGTTACCACGGGGAACACTTCAAGTTACAATCTTAACGAACCGCGCGATTTGGGGGGAGCGTCTTCCTAAGGCCAACTCGTCGACCGAGGAGCTTTCTTTGCAGAAGCTGTCGTGTGAATCATGCTTTGTGACTCATGTTGGGCTCCAGGCTCCATGCTGCAGCCTGACAACCTCATAGTCACCAAAACATCCAATGGCCCCTTGACCTTTGAAGATGTTCGGTAGTTCAGAAACGTATTCGCTCGCGTGTGCTGTCGATGTATGTGATCCAATCAGGCTACCACTCCATGACGTACCTGGAGCACATGCGACGAACCAAGTGCCTCGCCTCTGCGCTCACCAAGCAAGGGGTGAAGCTGGAAGACCGCATTGGTACCTTGATGTGGAACAGTGCTTGGCATTATGAGTGATCCCTGGCAAAGTTTCAAATCATTTTTATCTTCTTTCCGTACGAGATTGAAAACAACATCCTTGATGTCATGGTTGTAGCTTTGCAAAGCAGTGCAAGGCTACCATGCCATACCTTGCATGGGAGCCGTCCTCCACACGTTGAATTTGCGCTTGGGCCCTGTCGATTTGGGTTACATCATTGAACATGCGAGGGACCGCGACGCGCCGGCAAGAAGGCACGAAAGCATGTAGCCATGTAGCCATGACTCACCACCTTCAAAGAAGGATGACTAAGCCTCAGGAATCATTTTCTCCGATGCGGACAAGCTTGAGCTGCTGGGAGCGTTGGACAAGCAAGTCATGGAGAAGGTCGAGCTGCTGGTGTGCGCCTTGCTTGCTCATTCCTCTAGCCTCGAGATCCTGACGCAACACCTTCAGAATGATATCTGTAGGGAAACTTCAGGTAATCCGGAAAGGAAGGGTACCTTGACCGACGCGTCCCTCTTCACACCACAGATAGGAAGCTCGCTTCTGCGAGCCCAGAGCGAACACGAGCTGGAGTTAGGCTCCACTGAGCTTGCCTGGCTCCTAAAAAAGAACGTTTTCTCCCAACCTGGTTTGTCTGTCGGGCTCTGCATGAACAGAGAGCTTCGGGGGATCATGCCCGTACGTCCCATATGTGGCCCTTGGTCAGGAGACTTAAAAGTCTTAAAGCAATGTTTTTTCAGTTTAGCGACCCAGAGCGACCAGTTGAGATCTGACTTTCTGGAATCCAGCTTGGCTGAAATAGTCCGAAGACATCCTGCTAGTTCTTGCCAAAGGAAAGGCTTACTTTGGCTTGATCCCAACAGCACTGCTGAGCAAAATCACGGGTGCATTTGATATGCCAAGCTTTCCCGAAGTTACCAAATTGCTGCTTCGAATCGTAAGCCTGACGGAACATATCATCCGCTTAAGAGTTGCCAAGAGTTGCCATACTTCATCAGGTGTTGGAGAAGATGGCTTGCCTGGACAATGGCAGCTGCCACCAGGACTTGAAGTGAGCGCTTTTGATGCCATGACGTGACACCTGGAAAAAGGCAAAGAAAGAACAAAAAAAGCTGCAGGATTGGCAGTCAATGCCGTGGACTATGAGGATTTTCTCAACTCGGGAAGTCCAGACTTCGCATGGCCCTCCTTTGCTGAAACCACGACCATGGGGCTGTGCTACACCTCAGGCGACCGTGCAAACCACAGTTCAGAATGTTCATCTTTTGGCATCATGTATGGGGTCGTGGGCATTCTGTGCATGATTCAACAAGCCATGAGCCACTCCATGATAGCAGCACTGGACACGCACCTTGGAAGAACCTGCTAACTGTTATAGCGATTGAGTGCAGGAACTACGGGCAAGCCGAAGGGTGTCGCCTACAGCCATCGGTCCACTTTCTTGCTTCTGCCTTAGCTGCATGTGAAGCTCTGGGAACCGTCTATGCCCAACTCATCGTCATGCAGGGTCGCAAAGCACTGTCAGGCACACGTTGACCATGGTTGGAGCTGACGCACTCTGCCTCCACGGGCGTGAGGCACCAGCAACATCCAGCAAAGCAATCTTTCTGGTTTACATCGGTGATTTGTGCCCTTGTTTGACTGTCAGGTTGTACTGCCTTTCGTGCCCATGTTCCACGTGCTTAGTTGGGGCACGCCCTTTGCCATGCTCATGATCGGTGCCTCAGCTTCAGGTTGCCTCCAGCTGCACAGAAAGCGGAAACCAATCAAAGATCGCCAGAGGTGCACGAGCAATCTTCACGTCTCGATTCATGGACCCCGTCTCGCTCTCAGCATGAGCAACTTGTCGCCGTACCATCGCATGGGCCAGCTGAGAAGTCAGAAACCGCTAGGCATTTGCAAATGAAGTACAAATTCTCGGCCATGCCTACTGGGAATGATTGCATGGCAAAGTCTTGCTCGCAGATGGCTGCAGATGACATAGCAGATCTGTTCTTGCGCCAGCCACACCAGGACTTACGAAAGCCCGAAACTTTGTGGTCTGAGGAAATGCTGCTAGTCAGGTGGCAAAAGCCGGCTCAAGCCTAACTTGAACATACCTGAACGGCGGGAACGCTCATGACCTGGATAAGATTCGCTAAGCAAATCTCAGCAATAAGTGGTGAAGCTTTCTTGCGGCCGCTTGAATGTTCGCCTCAGGCCACGCTTGTGAAGATGATGACAGACTGGAAGGTGCACCCGGCTGTGAAGCAGACACAGTGCTGTAGCAAGTGACGAGTCGCCCCTGAAGGTTGATATTTCCCTTGGGGTGCCGACTGTCTGGCAAGGTGTCAAGAGTCACATCGAGCAGCTTGACTGCCAGTGTTTTCCTATGCCGTTAGACTCGAAGCTCATGCCAATCCGCGTTTCATGCTGGACCACTTACTCTTCCTATGCTCCACCTTGTACAGGAATTCCCGCGTGCACGAATCAACACACCATCTCTTTCTCCAAGCTCCATCCTGTCCAGTGCCTCTCAGACATTCCACAAGCTCCCATATCAAATCGGTCCTTTTCTTACAGAAGAACTTGCGGCTGAGTATATTGCGGGGTATTCGGATCGGAAATCAGTCCGAACTCACCTAAACAAATCATTCTAAGGTCTTAGCGTGGGTTCCTCGGGTCTCTGGTGACCGCTGTGCCAAAGTTAAGCAGCATGCTTTAACAGTCCCTTGCTGGTGGCATGTCTCCTGGCAAGTGACGTGATGCCCCTTCACAGCAACTTTTCCCCTTGCCTGTTCAAGGGAGAGAGACGAACGCGTTCTAGCACTTCGTTTATCCAATCTTTTGAGACCAGCGCAAACTGCGACATTCACACATGGCACAACTTTTGTGCAGTTTCGCGCTCTTTTGCCAGTTATGATTGTTCTTTCGACTTTCCTGCACGCTCGTGAGGCTGAGCGTAGGTGTGGCTACAAAACCAGAGGAGCCATATTCAGAGACAGCGCCGAGCAAAATATTGTTTATTGCAAGGTCTGTCTGGAATATGAAAACTCAACTTATCAAAGCGAGAGCCGCAACTGCAATGCCTAAAACCTACCATTTGGTAAGGATACTACCGCGAACTGCAAACAACAACAGTCTATTCGGGTTGGAGACCAGCATCCAGAAATTTACGCGAGCAGATGGGTTTCGCAGCAGTCGACCTGTCAGAAAATTTGCACCTGCTCCCTTGGTTCTCTGAGGCTTGTGGAAGCACGGTTGATGAAACACAAGTTCTACCCTGCACACAGCAAACGACAAGTTACACGGATTGATGCCTTGACATGCCTTGACCAGCCCTTTGCCAGTCAAGAGTTGCAAGTCTCTTTCGTGCGGTCTGCTGGGAAGCTACTGGAACTTCCTGCCCATGGTCCATCTCTCCTTCCGTCTCTTCCTTAAAAGTCGGGAGTCCGAATTAGGCTCGTTGGGGGGGGGGGGGGGAGATCCTACTCGTCGCCGCACCTGAATAAGCAAACTGCCATGTCACCAGTTGTAGACGCTGCCTTCGGAGCGTGCAGGCAGCACGGCGTGGAGGAGATTCGCCAAAGGCTGTCCTTAAAGAGGCTAACGTGTGGGGGAAGTGCGCCGCAGCCAGCTTTGATGCGCTGGTTCTACGACAAGCCGCTTGGAGGGACAAGCAGACATTTCAAGAATTTCAAGTGGTGTTGTCTGCACAGGTCCAGGACACTACCGAGAATTGCAAACCAACTTGGCAGATCAACGCTTCATCTCAGGCTTGGGGTCGAGTTCCTGCAAGGCCTGCGGGTTTCTCAAAACAGCTCTCGCGAGCGAGACTTTTGACAAAAAGGCAACTGTGGCACAGAGCAGCTCAGAAAGTCTTAGAGAGTCTTAGGATGGGGCATGACAGAGACCAATCCCATGGGCTCCTTTGGAATGAGAGTGGCTTAGCTGCAAGCAGATGCGAGCCACGGATACCCATGGCAACGCGTGTGCACTCGGATCCTTCTCGTGGATGCTTTGATCTTGTGGACGCGCTTTGTCTCGTCTTCGTTCACAAGCAAGCAGGGCTGCTCACTAACGGCACGGCTTTGGGCTAATTGTGCAACACTCGAAGTTTTCATTGCGCTGGTGTCACCATTGTGGCTTTTGTTGTTGTTTTCTGCGTGTGTGTGTGTATATATATATATACATACATACACATACCTAAAGGGCTTGCGGCACGGGCCGGCCAGGCCGTCTGAAAGCTGAAACTCGGGTTTGGGTTTAGGGCCGGGAGCTCAGGGAGTCGAGACGTAATAAGTAAAGAAAGAAGAAGAACAAGAAGAAAGGGAAAAGGAATAAAAAGAAAAAGAGGACGAATAAAAAGAACAATAAAAAAAGAAAGAATAAGAAAAAAGAAGAAACGAAAAAATAAGAAGAAGAAGAAGAAAAGAAAGAAGAAGCACAAGAAGAAGAAGAAGAAAAGAAAAGAAATAAGAAGAACAAGAAGAAAGGGAAAATGAATAAATAAAAAAGAACAAGAAAAATAATAAGAATAAAAGAAAGAAGAAAAATAAAACGAATAAGACAATGAAAAAAATGAGAAAGGACAATGAAAAAAATGAAAAAGGAGAATTAAGATATGAAGAAGAAAATAGAAAGATGAAGAAAAGAAGAAGAAAAGAAGCAAGAAAATAAAGAATAAGAAAAAGAAGAAAAAAGGAATGAACAGGAAGCAGAAGAGAAGAAAGAACGGGAAACGACAGCCGAAACCCTATGTATAATCCTCTGCGCACGCGCACGCGCACGGGCACAGCATCATTGGCATCAGCGGCTTGGGGGCGGGGGCCGAAAGTCGCGAAACACACGTCCAAAAGAATGACGAAACCCAGGTATTCCCAAAAAAAATCCTTTTCTCCGAGGTTGGGCGCCTTTTTCTGTTCCCGGCCCTCGCCCCCAGGCGAGCATCATGAGCATCAGCGGCCTGGGCCCGCGTGCGAACAGGTGGCTAGACCCCTTGTTTTTGCATGCCTTGGCCGCTGTCGCCCGCCCCCACCCCCCAGGGCTTCGGGGAGCTGCCCTTGGAGCAGCGCCAACCCACGCGACGTGCGCACGGTTGGCGCTGCAGCCATAACGAGGAGTTTTTGAACAGTTTTTCGCGCAACACGCAAAAAAACACGGTATTTACCGGACCCTCGGACGCCCCCCCCAAGCGAGCATCATGAGCATCAGCGAGGACTTCATGAGCATCAGCAAGGCTCCGGAGCCGGGACCCGAGGGCGCTGGAGAAATGAAGGGCTCATGATGCTCACCCGTGGGTGGGCATCGTGAGCGTCGGCTGACCCCCCCGAAACCGTGGGTGTCAATGATGCTCACCGTGGAGGCGCGGCAGGAGGTGTGTGTCGAAACACGCGAAAAACACGGTATTTACGATGTTGTTTGGCTTTGTTGAGGCGCCCGGGCCCTCCTGTGTCCCCGGAGGCGGGTCGCTGATGCTCATGATGCTCGCCCCTGTTGAGGCGTCGGTACCCCCCCAAAACTTGAGGTATATGGTCTTTTTCGCATGTTCGCCCAATGTCAAAAAGCAGGGTCAATGATGCGCGCCGGGTCACGCATCATTGGCCCAAAAACGCAGAAAAGCCTGGTATTTACGATGTTTTCGGCACTTCCACACATTCGCGTTTGGGACCCCGCTCGGAGCCCTCCCGGGTTCCCCCCGGAGCCCCATGCAAGGAACCATGCGATTTTCAGGGCGGGTCGGCGGCACGGGCGGCAGCCGTAAAAGGCAAGCCTTTAGGCTAGCCGTGCTCCGCACTGGACCACGCCATTCAATGGCTACCGCCAGTGCCGCCGACCCCCCAAAGGGCCCGGCGGAGGGGGGGAGCAAACATTCAGAGTGAGCAATTCAGAGTCGGGCAAATGGGTGGTTGTTTAAGTTGCATTCATCCACAGTGCAGGGCCCGACGAGGGGGGAAGCAAGCAGGCGGAAAGGGTCAGGGCTGGGTGGTGGTTTGGGCGTGCGATGGAGCCCTTGAAATCACGCATCCACGGCACAGGGGCATTGACGGGGCGAGAATTCAGAGGGCGGTGCTGTGGGGGGTGGTAGGGGCGGCGTCACTCATCCACCGCAGCTTGGGAGCAATTACACTGAGAGGGGCAAGCACTCAGAGTAGGGCGGTGGGCGCATTGGGGGCGGTGGGGCTACTGCAGGGTTTTCACTTACGCCGAGGGGCGTCGGCGGAGATATATATATATATATGTATATATATACATATGTATATATGTGTGTGCGTGTGTGCGTGTGAATATATGTCCCTGCTCATCCACATCCCTAAGTCTTGCATGGTCTCAAACCGGGTTGCTCAAGTTGAGTTTTGCTGACAGCAGCTTGAAGCAGTGCAACAAGTGCAACAGCACTTCCATATCAAAGCAAGGTTGTTCTTTTCTTTGCATGCACAACAGGTGGCAAAGCATGCAGACAAAGATAAGAGCGTGGATGAGACCTTCAAGAATGCCGTGCACTCAGAGACTCAAGACTCTATGACACCTTTAGGATGTCTCTTCTGTAAAATCATAGCCGATTTGGTGCCCAAGGTTGTCAAGGCAGGGCTTCCGCTTCCAGGAGTTCAAGTGCGGATTGCGGCTCAGCTGATCAAGACAAGCGTTTACGAAATTTTCAAAACCACACTTTTCTCTGCAGAGCTTGCTCCGTTCCAGGCACAATCAGATAACCTCGATGCAGACATGCCGCGGGGTCAGCCAGGGGAGTTGCTGGTGCGCGGCCCATGGATCATTCAGGACAAGACCTGCCTTGCATGGTGTCGCATGTCTCCGCATACTGGCTACTGTTTCCCTTTAAAATATCGCTTAGATGAAAGTCTAGCAGCTGCAGCTGTTGAGCCAGGAGTACTTCCAGGTGGACGCACAAGACAAATTCCACAATGGCTGGCTCGTCACCGGAGATGTGGCCAAGCTTGATGAAGAGGGTGCAATCGTCATCAGCGACCGCTCCAAAGATGTCTTCTTGTCTGCAATTGCAGTTGCTCTCAGTTGCTCAGAGGTTTTAGTTAGTCCAGCATCAACCGGCTCCTTCAACATCCTTCAACGCAAGGTGCGTTTGCTGAAACCATGACAGCTTGCAGCAAATCGAAGGTTGTCAAGTCAGGCGGAGAGTGGATTTCCTCTATTGACATGGAGAACATGATTCTTGACACGGTTGGACAGCACGTGCATTGAAGCTGAAGCATGAACAGTCAAGTGTCGTCGAGCATGGTCTTGCTGCAAGGATCATGGCCATGTCCGACATAGACACTGCCGCGGTGGTCGCTGTGCCTCATGCACGGTGGGACGAACGGCCGGTCGCTGCAACCCCCCCAGAATGCGCGACATTTTTGTTCGTCTTCTCAGGCAGATCACAAGAAAGTTTGCGTTGAAAAGCACAGTCCATAAATGTCTGAGGTGGTTACTCTGGCAAGAGGTAGCAGCGCGGAAAATCTTCTCGACCGTGTAAGACAGCACCTTTCGTCAGCCTTTGCCAAGTTTCAACTTCCGGATGACGTCCTGGCTTCTTGCTCAGATTGAACATGTTGTGTTGATGCAGGGCGGTCTGCAAGGCAGTGCATGCCCAATTTGCAACGCTCATGGTTCTGAGGTCTGGGAAGCTATCCCGATGACAACCACCGGCAAGCTTGACAAGAAAGTAATCCGAGCAAAGCTCAATGAGCAGAACTACGTGCTGCCATCGGAGCGATCTCCCCAATCGAAGCTTTGACACCTCTCGCATGAGTCTGACTTGGCGATGAAGCAGAGGTTGCGGATGCAAGGAAAGTAAAGTCCGCATCATCGTTTAAACGACAACACTTAGCGGAGTCCCGCTGTGAACATCGCAGCCGGGTCCAATGCTTAGACTTCTCTTCGGCCGCTAAAAGACCTCAACTCGGAGAACTTGTGATGCCTTCCTTCTGGCAGCTTTGACCATCTCCGAAGTTACTTGTAAACAAGCTGCACATGTGGAGGCAAGTGAGGACAGCCGAGCATGGTGGGCAGAGATTGTCGAGAATGTCAAGCGGCCAACAAATTCTTCGACAGAGTTCCACGGTCTTTTGGCTCCCTTAACGTGGTGATAAGGTGCGATGGCTTTGCAGATCAGCTGCAACAGAATGTCAGGTCTTGTTCGCCGTCAAAAGCCCAATTCTCCGCTGGGACAGCTGGCCCATGTCAGCAACTTCCTGCACAACCACGGAGACTTTGGTGACTTCCTATGCTAGAACTGAATTCACAAAGCCTAGCACCATATTGCACCTTGACAAGCTGCTTGTGCTTTTTAGAACGTTCTGAGGTGAAGTTTGCCGCGGCCCGCAGATGTGAGACATGTTCTGTTTGCGATGCCGGAAAACATTCACGTTTGCTACTCTTTTGCTCATGTCAAGGAGCTGATGTATTCATGCAGACATGTCTTCACGTTACCTCTGGTTGCTGCGAGGTTTGAGCTCTGCAGATCCAGAGTGCGAGCAGTGAAGGCCGACGTGAAAGCATCCTGTTGCTCGCGCATTGCTGCAACCAGCCCGCCTTGGCAGAAAAAAACAAGAAAGCGGCCGACTTGCGAAGGCAGCATGTCGTGCAGCACAGCTGATCCTCTCAAAGCGATACAAAGCCGCTGGAGAAACCAACAAGCACTTACCTGGCAAGTCTGCTTCTGTTTTATATTGCAGCCTTGCCTTCGGAGTCTAGTGATGGTTTCGTGGGCAGCAGGAGGTAGTGCGACTGCGAAGGAAGGATGCAGCACAGTGCAGTATCTGCTCGACCCATCCACTTGAGAGCTGGAAGACTGTGTAATGTTTGGAAGGGTACTGGTTGAAGCATAGCGAGGGAGGGGAAGCCACAAAGCTTCGTGGATGTTGCCCACTGCATGGAAGCATGTTATCATCTTGGGGCTTCACAGAAGACAAACTTAACATGACGAAGTTGCCGCAAACCTCTGAAGCATCCTTCAGCTAGTCTTGACATGTTTTGACTACTGGTATGAATTGTTGCTTGACATGCGAGTTTCCATTGCTTGCTGGCTGCTTTTGGGGTACGGCACTCTTGCAGTGCACCCGCTGTGTGGAGGTACGACAAAGTTCCCGAAAGTCCGTCTTTGGTTCTCACTGACATAGTGATCATTCCACACGGAGGTAAAGTTGGTTCCGGCCTGGTTCAGAATGGTCTGGCAGATGTAGGCGTCATACGAAGCATTGCTGCTCACAACTCACAGATGTTGGGAATCTTGGCTGACCCCAAGCTCCGTGAATATCAACTGCCATAGATTGCCATCTTTCGTACATCGACAGGCTTGCAGTCATTACATCTCATGCACTTTCCACGTGTTCGTGATCGCCTTCATATCCTTACATTCCAAGACCACAACAGCAATGCACCAAGTGCTTGCAAGATCCCAAGATGGAACCCATGCTGCGGATTGTCGTTGCAGCTTGGATGGCTGGTCTCCTGTGGAAAAACGGCTAGATGACGCTGTTGGATGCAGCCTCTGGCCTGGCTGTTCTGCCATCAGCGCCGTCATGTTGGTACGATCCAGACCATTGTCCAGCCTCAATGCCTTGGAAAGAGCGCCAGATGAATGGATGCTTCACTTTTGAGTTGCTCGATTGGTTTCAATCGGCAAATGATTGGGATTCAATTGTTTGTTCTTCAATCCCTCGAAGGCCTCACTCCCTCAAATGCTCCCAGTGCCTGCAGCAGGATGTGCTGCATATTCGATGGGTATCTTGGAGAAAGATGCTGGGACACTGCTTCCGTATTTACCTTTGAACGCTGCTGTGCTTTGGCAGCCGATTCCGACAATCAGACGCTCGGATAAGTGAAGAATACTCCGGTACCACCTGACGCGGGTCTCGCACCTGGTATTTCTTGTTACGGTTGAGGTTGGCTGAGGCACAACAATGCTTGTGCACGTTGCAGTCCCATGGACAATCTACAGTAGAAGCGACTGTCTTGTAAAGCTAAGGCGCCACATTCCGTACTGGCACTCCAAGCAGGTGCTCATCAAGCTTCAGGATGACTTCGCCACCTTCAAAGAAGGAGGCCTTGCGCAGCAGCCTCTGCTGCTTTCTTCACGGCCTTGTTCAATCATTTTGCGCCAGGCCAGACCCTGAGGCTTCACCAAGACGCAGCTGGGCTTTTTCTCATACTTTCGAGAAGGCCAAGAGCAACTTCTCGGTTTCGCATGCTGTAGAAACTTGTCAGGTACCTGGCACCTTTGAAGGCGAATGGCAGATCTACGAGCCGCAGAGGGCACTCTGACAGGAAACCGTCAGGCTTTATCTCTGGAAAATAGCATTCAAGATCCTCTTCAGGTGCCTTTGGTGTTGTGGGAATCTGGCTACCTGATGATGCGCTGGATGGAGAACAAAGCCATTGCTGCTGGTGGTTTGAGAATCCTGTTGCTGAGAAAGTGCTGGAATATTCTTCATACTTGTACCGATTCAATCAAGGCAAAGGGTTAAACCTGCTTGTGCATAAGGAGACCAACGTGTTCTCGAGCTGGGTGCAGGCATTGGTCTTGCTGCCATTACAGCAGCTCTTGGAGGGGCGCATGTTCTGGCTACAGATGGCTCTGGTGACATCGCTGCATCTCAGAAAATCTGTGCGAAGCTTGTACTCTTCTGGCAGAAGCATCAGTTTACAAGTTCGTCGCGGTAATCTTCGCATCTCCTAAGTTGTTTTTTTCTGAGGCCCCTTACCACTTTACATGATTGTCGATTTGCTGTGTTTCAGCGTGATGACGTCCATGTCAGGTGATGCAGTTCAGCTGATGAAGAGGATGGATGGTGTACCTGGTATCACGTTACAGCACGTGAGTAGATTCAATTCACATGACAAATTCTTCTGTGTGCTTCGGAGATGAGGAAAAATCAATCACACAATTAAGCAGGAGCCGCAGCAAACAACGCAGGCTAGAGCCAGATGCTGCGCCGTAAGACTTGCGGCTGTAAGCCTGTGCGTGAAGACATGGGTGGCTAGACGACAAGAGTTAAAAATGAGAAAGACGGAGCAAGGCTGCGCAATGCCACACACCGAGTTGGGGGTCTTGTTGCACACTGCCTGATTTTGACTTCGAACTTGCAAACAAACGTGAGCAAGTGAGGGAGAGACTCTGCAGTCCTACCACCCACACCACTCACGGCTTCGGAGGGGCTCCACAAGCTTTGTCGCTTCCTTTCTTCAGTTCAAGTGGAGGAACTTGAAACTTTTTTGAGCTGCCAAGGTGCTGCCCAGTTGACTGTTGAGTCAATGCTGACATCCGAAAGTTGCTGTCCCGACGTGCAAATATTACATGCCGCAAGCACACGTCCCTGCGTCTTCAATTCAGACTGCGCAAGACGGACTGCTACACACAGGGCGGAGGGTTCCTGCGTTAACAGTCGGGGTCTTCACGGTCCTTTTCCGGTCTCTAGGCTGCACCAGCTTCGCCTTCAGTTCCGGGTTCAAAAGAGTTGTGGGGTTCCAGGGGGCCTATGAACTTACCCGACATCGTGAGTTTGTATTCGAAAGCATCCGAAAGTGTCCGCGAGCGTTGGAACCTATCCGGAAAAGTCTTGACAGTCACGAAGATGAGGCCCCTCTGGTGCGCCATCCTCGCAACCGTCGTCCCTTTTGGAGCTCGTTTGTTGTTCGCGTTTCAAGAGTGCTGACAGTTGCGAGGATGAAGGAGGCATGTGGGGTGCGCCATCCCCGTAACTGTCGTTACTTTCGAACCTTGGATGTTGCCTAGAAAGGAGCGAGAGATGGGAGAAAGCTAAGAGACAGATGAGAGAGAGAAGGAAAGGAAAGAGAGAGAGAGGCAGAAAAACACAGCACAAACAGAAGAGAGACGGATCCTAGGATCTCGTGTCGTGCACCGTGTACATGACATGTACCTGCATTCGGGGATCGTGGCCCCTATCAGGTTCTAGATTGCAGCCGAGACACACCTGTTCATGAAGTGAGCGGACTTCATGATCTTTTTCGGATGGAAGATTTGCTACTGTATGCAGTGGGCGGATGCACACTTCGAATGTCGAGCAGCTGTTGATCCCATGCGGTTGTCACTGCAGCTGATGCTGTCAGCATTGAATAAATTTTGCCTGAACCTAGCAACCTGAGCTTTTTTGTGCAGATGCAGTACACTGCCTGCAACTGACCACAGCAAAAGGAGCAGGACAAGGGTGAGAGTACGAAGGAGAGGCATGAGCAACACGATTATTGAAAAGCGACTTACCTGGGCGGGAGGGCGCTCCAGAACGAAGAAACTCCAAGCATGATTCAGTTTGATGCGGCATAGGATCAGAGGGTCGTGTGCTTTCAGTCAATACCACGTCATCAAAGTTAAGTATTGGAATGGCACAGCTCATGTCAGCATCATTTGCAGCCGTGTGATGCTGCTTGCGTGTCGGGATGCATTGCTGCTCGGAGGAACATCCAAGCAAATCTTGACAGAGAGCAGGCTTCTGCAGAAGGATGTTTTTCCTTCATCAAGTCTTGTTCTTGTCGCCATGCGCTCATTGGCAGGCAGTCGTTGTGAGTTGGTCTCGTGCGCGTCCAGGCGACCAGAATTCGACCAATACGGTTGGACTGGACAACAATCATTGTGCAAGGCCCAACCATGGAGTTCCCATGCGAAACTTAAGTTTAGCACCGGCCATTGCCCTAAAGTGCAAAGTGAGCGTGGAAAGGGTTTGATTCTTGCACGTTTTGACAAGGTGCGGATATGGAGCCCGGGCCAAAGAAAGAAGCAGCTATGCGCAGGCTTATGGAAGCCGGAGTGTCAGGGCCCTTTGATATTGTCGTGTGTGCAGCTCTCGGGTATGCAGCTTGGTGTCAACTGGTACCCAAACAGCACAACTGTCGAAGCAGCTCGACGCAACTTTCCCACTCACTGAGTCCTTGCCACCAGGTACAGATCCAGGTATTTCATGCATTGCTGGGTATCCTCGATTTGGTCACAAACAAGGATGGACATGCGAACCATTGGTGATGGCCCGGACTTGCAGGTCTTGTTTTTTGTGCGAGCGCCAGCCTGGCATCAGTTGAGGAGACCATCGTGTTTTGGGGCGCCGGCAAGGACAGTACCATCAACTTGAACAAGTCTTGGAACCGTGATGAGATGTCCGTGGAAATGGACAAGGCTGACGATTGAATGGATTCCCATGTTAAGTTGCACAAGCTGAACTTACGGACTTGTTCGGCTGATTTTCTTTGAAGTCAGGCCTTCATGATTTTGAGCGAAGCGGGATCTAATCGCCCTGCCCATCTTAATCTGTACGAGCTGCGCCGCCGAGCTACATGGGAAGGAGCCCCGGTATTCAGGATTCAAAATGCTCGCAGTCTCGCGAGTGAAGCTGGCAACGCTGTCCCACAAATTGCTTACAGAAGATGCATGTGGCTTCATAAATTCTTCATCGTCGGTCCCAGCGTACGTATCCATAAATCTCAGGGCTCAGGTGAAGTGACATGTTGAACAAGATAATTTAGAATTTCGGCTGACTGATTGGAGAAGATATCGTTTCAGTGGTCGACATGGCTTGAAAGTATGGAGTGAGCTTTCTCTATGAATATTTCAAGTCTTTTTCGAATTTTAATTGATGGTTCAGGATATCGCTTGCCATGACTAAGGAATGATTTCATCGAATAGACTTGGATTGGAAGATAGAAAATTTTTCGGAAGGGTTATGGGCTAGGCTATTAGTTGACTTGTGGGATTGGATTCATGAATTTCTTTTTCAAAATTTCAGAATTTTTTTCCGGTCAATTTGATTACTTGCGGGAGCCTTATGGGGGATCTAGAAATTCCGGGAATTTTCAGGATGATTCTTTGAGAATCCTAATCATTTTGGGAATCCCGGACCCGATAATCGGGATCCCCGGGTTTAGGGTTTAAAGGTTTTACATTTTGGGGGTTAATAGATATTGTGGTGTCCGTATGTTGGGGGGATTTTATATACATCTGAATAATTATATATATCCCATAAAAGGCTACGGGCTCGACCCCTATTTTCGCTCTGCGGCCGCTCTGTCGGATGCCCCGCCTCCTCTTCCGGTCCATTTGGCTGCTTGGGAGGGTCTTGCAGGGGGATCCTGAAAATTCCGGGAATTTTAACACTTTTTGTCTAAAAATCCTGGGAATTTTGGGAATCACCCGGAGCTGAAAATTCCCGGAATTTTAGGAATTGTCCGGATTGAGGTTTGGGCTTGCCGGGTTGGATTTTAAGATTCCAACGCAACAGTGATGACGTGGGTGCCCCTTCACCTTCAAGGAAATCTTCATCTTGGTCCAGGGTAGTTCCGATGACGGTCGCCGCCCGCCAGCTGTTCAAGGGGGTTCGGCCTCACCATCACATATCAGCAACAGCTCTCGAAAAGTCCCAGGAATTCAAAATTCCGGGAAGTTTCGGGATCCCCCGGGTTCAGGGTTTTACGCTTTACGGTGTAGGGTTTTGGGGTTTAATAGAAATTGTATAGGGTTTGTCCGGAGTTTTGTCGTGTTTTGGGGGGTTTTGTTTTTTGCTTTTGCTGTAATGGTTTGGGTTCTGTCGGGTGTGGTGGGGGGTGGGTGGTTTTGGGGTGCTGAGGGGTTGGGGCTGAAAGGCTGGGGTTTTGGGGGGTTTTCCCGAATTCCCGTGGTGGTGGTCCCGTGGTGGTGGTCCGTGGTCCCCTGGTGGTTCGTCGTGGTGGTCCCACAGCGTGGTGGTGGTGGTCCCGTGGTGGTGGTGCTTTGGTGGTGGTGGTCTGTCGTGGTGGTGGCGGTGTCCGTGGTGGTGTCCGTGGTGGTGGTGGTGGTGGTGGTGGTGGTGGTCCCTGGTGGCCGTGGTGGTGGTCCCGTGGTGGTGGTCCTATGGTGGTGGCCGTGGCGATGGTCCGTGGCGGTGGTCTCGTGGTGGTGGTTCCGTGGTGGTGGTCCGTGGTTGTCTCGTGGTGGTGGTCCCGTGGTGGTGGTCTCGTGGTGGTGGTCCCGTGGTGGTGGTCTCGTGGTGGTGGTCCCGTGGTGGTGGTCGGCGGTGGTCGGCGGTGGTCTTGTGGTGGTGGTCTCGTGGTGGTGGTCTCGAGTCTCGTGGTGGTGGTCCGTAGTTTACATAATATCATATTTTGCAATGAATATGATAGTTTTCTATATTCGGGATCGTGGTTCTTTTTTGTTTTTTGTTTTTGTTGTGTTGGTTTGGGTTTTGTTGAGTGTGATGGGGGATGGATGGTTTTGGGGTGGGAGGGGGCTGGGGCTGAAAGATTGAGGGGGGAGGGTGCCGGGGGCGGCGGGGGGTGGGGGAGGGGTGGGGGGGGGGGGTGGGGGAGGCGGGGGGGGGGGGGCGTGGGGAGGCCGAGGGCTTTGGGGAGGTTTGGGGAGAGGGAGGGGGTGTATGCTGGTTGAGGGGGCGGCAGTCGTGGAAGCAGACAGGAATAGCCCTACCACGGAGGGAAGAGCGACCTAGGTTCTTACAAAAAAAAAGACTAATCTAAAAATAGTAATGAACTAGAGTCTCGAGAAGCTCTTGTCGTGTCTTCTGGCGATCATGTGTGGGACGCTTGGCAGCTGTAGACCTGGCGTCAAAAAATTCGCCGGGCCCTGGGAAGGCAACAGATGTCATCAGTCACCGTTTCTGACCGGGGCAGATTCAGGCTTTGGGTGTGTTTGGGGGTGGGGGGAAGGTTTGAGCAATGTTTCCATGCCCTCCTAGCCTCATCAACTCCCCTACAGACACACTTCATCCCATCCATGCCCACTCCAAGAAATTCTAAAACCCTAATCCCCCCCTAGTCCCCCCCCCCCCTTTCCGAATCCAACCCCCCCCGCCCCATGGAATCAGCCCCAAGGTCATCCAGGTCGCGCGAGGGAAGCGGCCTACGCTGCCCAATGAAGTCCTTGGCCCGAGCATGGAGCTTGCGCCGCAAGTCCACCCACTAGCAACAAAGCATACAAGCAGCAAGTAGAGCAATACATGGAATGATGCAAAATAAGTAGTAGATGATGTAACTGCAAATCATCATGATCGTAGTAGTATTATTCGTCGTCGTCGTCGTAGTTATTATTAGTAGTAGTAGTAGTAGTAGTAGTAGTAGTAGTAGTAGTAGTAGTAGTAGTAGTAGTAGTAGTAGTAGTAGTAGTAGTAGTAGTAGCAGTAGCAGTAGCAGTCGTAGTCGTAGTCGTGGTTGTACTCGTAGTAGCAGTAGCAGTCGTAGTCGTAGTCGTCGTAGTCGTCGTAGTCGTCGTAGTCGTAGAGTATAGGCGTAGTAGTCCAGTAGCCCCGTAGTACTAGCTAGTACTACTAGTACTACTAGTAGTAACAGTAGTAACAGTAGTAACAGTAGGAACCGTCTGCAACCCCTGCTTGGGAGGATTTTCGGGGGGGGGGGGGATCACCATAAACCTTTTGTTCGTTTGCGTTTGCAGCCCGTGTCTGGCTTGTGCCTTCGCATGCCAGTCCATGACCGTCCACACCTTCCACAAATATAGAGCGGCCTCGTTGCTGCTTTTTCAGCAGCCACGTTTCGACGGTGTCACATGAGGCTCCCAGGAGGCTTGTCCAGATCATTGAGAGAACATTGGGCGCAAACCCCGACGCGCGGTCCACAGAGCGAACATGCATCAGCACGGAGTGGTTGGCAGAAGTTTGATCCACGTGGTTCTTCGTGAGTCTGGGTTGGACTTAGTTACACGCGGCTGTCCTTGCCTGAGGACAGACCCACCTTCGATGAGCTTGTGAATCAGCTCTCCGACCTTTACAGCGACTTAGGCTCAAGCCCACGCTCGAAGCGCAGTCTGTGGAAGATTGGCAAGACTCTTCCATGCAGGTGGCGTTGATTCGCAAGACGTCGCCTTGTCTGAAGCGTGCCCGCGGGTTGCACGAGAACATTTGGGTGCGCGGCAGATGCTCGGTTGCCCTGAAACCGTAAGTCCAAATCCTGAGCCCTGCAGAAACAACAACAGGGTCCTAGCAAGGCTCTGGCTCTAAACTCTAAACAGGCAAAAGCACAAAATCCAAGCCGCCAATGCATTCACTGCACTGTCCTTAAGCCTTGTTGCAGCTTGGTGTGCAGGGAAGGTTGGGAGTGTCAAAAGGCCCAGGCCCACAAAGCTGCAGAGGCCCCAAGGCCTCCTGGTTTAGGGTTTAGGGTTTAGGGTTTAGGGTTTAGGGTTTAGGGTTTAGGGTTTAGGGTTTAGGGTTTAGGGTTTAGTCTCGAAGATTGACAATTGAGTTTCCAGGTACACCTTCCGCCAGAGTGAGACATATCCGCGTAGCGACAAGGACAAGGACACACAGTCCAAGCGCATGCAGTCCAAGTAGCGGAGCTGAGACACGGGTTGGCTATACTCCCCTTCGAACCAGAATAACATTAATATATTCAATATCCTTTTGGACAAAAAGAAAGAATATTTCCCAGGGGATATAGTTGGGCCATCAGCCAGCGGCTGCCAAGCAGTCAGGACCGGAATGATGAGGGGTCCACAGTTCAGTGCCATTCCGGGCCATGTTCCCTTCTTGGGGTCCCGGTTAAAAAGATGCGTAGATGCGCCCCTTCAAATTCAGGGGGCTGATCCCTGCCGATCATTGAGTTCTCAGACTGAGTTCACAGTCTGGAACGTTTTTTTGGTATTTAATGCCTGTGTATAGCAGGACACCTTCACTGACGGTAAGCCTAAGTCGCTCCGCGAGGCTGTAAAGGCTGTCGCAGGCATCCGCCAATCCTCAGTCTTCTTCCTTTCGGCCTTTCAAGAAGCGGTATGCCAGCTGTGCCTGGTTCAAGCAAGCTAGATCAGGACAACCCTTGAGATGCTGTGGGTCTAGCATGCTGTGTAGGACGGCGTAGGACTTGAAGTGGGAACTCAACCATGATCGGCCCATCTGAAGCCCGAAGCTTCCCGAAAAACATAACCCCAACCCCAAACGTCAACGCATTTTTGACTGAAGCTTCGCCCCCCCCCCCCCCCCCCCCCCTCGCTGCCGGCATCTCCGCACACTGGACCAGGCACTTGTGCGTTACGGGGGCAACAAGGAGGTTCATGGTACTGAAGAACCAATTATCACTGTATCTCTAGCCCACTTGCAAGCCCCTTGAGTGCCCTCATATGGTTATCATTGGGCTATAAGTACAGTTTTTATTGGGTTAATGCAATGGGACCTGGACAAAAACAGCACCCCTATTTACGATGCAGACACAAAACTTTTTTCAGCACCTTGCGCAGGCATGTGCCAGAGTGCGACGCATTGGCTCATTCTTTCTGGCTCAGGCCAGCTACACCGACCTTTTCACGGTGAGTATTTTGCAGCTTCTCCTAGGTGGTTCAGGCGAAGTTTGGGACGGTTTCACGGTTTGACCCTAAACTCCCAACCCTATACCTGAACAGATCTTCCAGGGTAGCCTTCCTGGTCAACCGCTGGCTCTTTTGTGTTGGAGAATGGTGCATATCCTTGGCTTCAGTGCGCGGGAGTGTGCTGTGATCAGAGGGCTTCGGGGGATTGTAAA